TCGGGTGTTGTTGTCCACCACACGCTTCGTGCAATTTTGCAGGCACCTCAGGAGCTCGAAGCTGTCCGCTCTCTTGGCTGGAAGGCCTCTCTTCTTGAGAAATTGCGGGCCTCTACCCAAGGTACCAAACGGAAGTCTGCACACTCTGACTCAAACTAGTCCGAGTCGATCCCGTCTGACCTGCTTTCCAGCAGCCAGCAATTCGATACGCAAGCTCTTGCCTTCACTTCTTCACCTTCTCTTCGGAGATCTGGCCCGTGTGCCTTCGATTTCAAAACGACCTCCCGCGCATTCGCAACCAACTGGCGGCCAAAAAGCAAACTGCATGGAAGTTCCCGTCGCGGAGATCCACTCGCATGGAAGTTCCCGTCGCGGAGATCCACTCGATGACCCCCGCGGGACCCAGAATGTTGATCCCTTTTGGAACCTTGACTTTAAAACTAAAAAACTTGGAAAAAAAACAATGGTCAAATCAAAAGGTCAGTTTTGGAAAGTAAGTCGGGGAAGGCCTTGGGTTTGGGTTGTCTCCCAGCCAATTTTGCAAACCCTGACTGGATGTCGGGTGGAGCTGGGGTGCTTTTATTAAATGTGCGTCAAAATAATGGTTTTTCCGAAGTCAACATCCTGGGACCGTTTTGGGGTCCTGAATTATAGGAAGTTGCTACCACCCACTAAAATAGAATAAACACTCACGCACACACACACACACACTAAGCAATACCGAATTAGAATTGGCAATGCTGACCCAGCCCAGGCCCCAACCCCAACCCCCCCAGCCCAACCCTTAGCCCTGTCCGGGGTGGGGGCTGATATCAAAGCAGGTCCAACTTTGGGTTAAAGTGAAGCTCCCGTTGAAGCAACGCGACCTAACCAAGGCGCCGCGCAAGACTACACCGGCGACGTGCGACCGAGAAACCGCAACGAAACGCCACGGTTTCCGTCACTGGGATTCCACGGAAGTTCCGGCGCCTGGGTCTGCACGAAGGATTGGGCCGAGAAGCGGAGGGTCGCTAAGAAGTCCCAAAAGCCCCTCAGAGGCGCGCGAGTGTTGAGCCTCTCCGTCTCCGTCTCTCACTCTATCCCTCTGCTTGGCAAAGGGGGTGGGTCGGTGACCAGGTGGGGGCAGGGGGCACCGGGGGGTTCTTGTTTTGTTTGCATTTGATTCCAGACATCCACTCATGTCCCGTTCCAGTGGCATACTGGTCCGTTTGCCCTCAAATGTGAATTGAGTTGCCTATGCACTTCGGGATAACTTTGCCAAACTGCAACAAAAGCTCGTAACACAGAAGGGATGGTCAGCGCTGCTTATTCAAATCAACCCTCATATCTGAGAACCCTCGGTGAGGCGATTTGTCGAGTTCCACTCGCCTGTCACCAATCGGGTCAAAATTGGAGTCTCACAAAGCCTATTTGATTCACGTGGGTGTGTCCAAACGGTATTCTCACTCCATGCAGGCTAATGTTGACCCCGGATTAATAAACCCTTGTTTATTAATTTGGGGTGTGTCCCTCGTGAAGTTCATGGGGATTCAACAAGGCTAACACCCCATATTAACCAGGGGTTTATTAATCCGGGGTCAACATTAAACTTGTGTCACTCTGTCTGGCGCACATTTCTTCCACACCTCCAATTTGAGCCAACCCCCTGCAACATGTTCCGTGTGGTTGCCACGTGAAAACCGAGTACACCTACAATCCATGTCGGCCGAGAAGACCAAAGTAAACCTTCGACATTTCTGCCATGAGAGCGCCACAGGGAACCCTTTTGAAAGTGAACCTTGCATTCATCCCCACCCAACACTTGAAGAACCTCCGCGAAGACCACATCGTGTGATGACCGGCAAGATGCTTCTGGGCTGTTCAAAATTGCGAAATCTACGAAGCCTGAAAAAGCGGGAACCCGCACCAAAGGGCTTGAACCGCCACGAGAGACGATCCCAAAACGTGGGGCAGAGTCAGACTCTGCTGTTCAAATTTTGCCCACCCCAAACCACATCATTCTGGAACCCGGTTTGCTTAACCCCCCCTGCAAAAAAATACAAAAAACAAAGAACAAACCCGTTTCCAGTGATCGATTTCCCTTAAAGCCAACCGGATTGAAAGAAAGACGGCATCTTCTGTGCCGGGGTGCCGCTGGACTGTGGAGGTCTGGGGGAAAGCGTTGGGGACCGCGCACTGAAACTCCTCGCTGCTCAGCTGGCTGTGACGCTGGGTGTGTGTGTGTGTCAAAAAAAAAGGCCCTCCCAACATGGTATCCACAAAATCAAAACGGTGAATGGGTTTGGATGGGACATCCCCTAACAGGATGGGTTTGTAAATCCGGGGTCAACACTACCCAAATCAGATGGTACATGCGATTTTGTTGGTTTAAATGGGTATGGGTCAAAATTAAACCACCAGGAATTGGACCGCAGGTTTTAGTCGATGTTTCCACTTACCAGGGTTCCTTTTGGGGTACCGATTTTTGCCACTGCCAAATGAAAACGGTGAATGCGTTTGTCGGACAAAACCGCATTGGTCGTGAGTCAAAGAGCAGTGGGGCCTCTGCTCCTCCAATCATGGGAAAGAATGGGAACCCCGGATTAATCATCCCCAGTTGATTCCCTCTATGGGCTCGCTCTGCGCTACCGTGAGCCAGCCGTGGTTTTCCGGCAACGGAGTTTTTGTTGGGGAGGCTTGCGGGTTCTCAACAAAGGAAGCCCCAAAAAAGCATCTGTGGCTTCCTTCAAGGGGATCCCGGCAATTCACCATCCCTAACCTGCCAGAACCAAGCCCCTGAAACTACCTGGAACGGTGCTGTCAAAATGAAGGATGGTGCTTTTCTGGGACCTCTGGAGCTCTTCTGACCGGGTAAAACAGGTTCTGTGTAAACCACGTGAGTTGTGGGACTTACAAGGGCCCAATACAGTGGAAAGGGGTTGTGAGGGACTTGAGAAGGCCCCCCAAATGGCTTCGGATTTCCTATTGGTTGCCCCGTCAAGCCAACCTCAAAAGGGGTGCCCCGAAAAAAACGAAGAAACAAAAAAGAACAAGGCCGCCCATGGAGCACCCCTTCTGAAACTGTGGAAGGGGAAATCCGGTGATTCCTGCTTTCCCCATTCTTTCGAAGCGATGGAACTGTTTGGTGGCTCTTCGGCAAACTTTTCAAGTTCGGGACCTATATGGCCTGAAAGGCTTATCACTTGCTTACCCCTTAAAACTCCAAGCCCTGGGGAAGTTAATCTTTTACAGACATATAGCCCATGTTACCCCAAAAAGTTGAAAAGTTGTGTTTTTAAGAGGTAAGCTTGGGTCTGTCTTTTGATTGTGGTTTTGAAGGGAAGCCAAACGGAAAACAGATGCCATTTTGCGCCATTTTGAGGGTCCCCTAAAACACCCATTCGAACAATTCCCCACGTGGCAAGGGTCGAGAGTTATTTGCATTCCTTCCTTCCCAGGACGCGGCTCATTACAAAAGGTCGGGGGAGGGGGCGGGCTGACCACAATATTCGCCCAAGCGGATGTGTTCAAAACCGGCACATGGGGAAAATACCAGTATGGCACGGCTTTTGGGAAACCAGGTGTTGGGATTCTTCCAAAACGCCAAATGGGAAACCACCAGATTTCTTAAAGCTCATCTTTCGGCGCAAGCTCACACAGGGGAGCCAACTGAGTGAGGCCACTTGCAAAGGAAAATGAATCAGCAAAACGCGTGGCTGAAAAAGAGAAAAAACATGCAAAAGACTTGCAAACATGGGCAAACATATGCAAATGGCATATCTGAACATCCCAATCCCCACTAAAATAAAGCCTGAAGGTGGTGCACCTACGAACCAAAATGGGATCCCGGTGGCTTTGACAACCACGGCCATAAATGTCTTGCTGGGGTCCTGATTCCAGCCACGGTTTGGGGAAGCCACAGTCCAGATTCCATCAAGATGGCCAGTGAGCCCTAACGTTGACCCCACATTTAAGAGCTCAGTTTATTAAAATATTGGTGTGGGTCCCAACATGGAACCTTGGTAAAGGGAAACATGGACTAACACCTGCGGTTTTCCGGTGGTTTAATTTTCACCCATATATATATATATATGTAGAGATATATGTCAAGTTTCGCTTCCCAGGTCTCGCAATTGCTTCCCCCCTCGCTCCTGCCCCGAGGCAACCGCGGCCGCCACGGCCAACGCCCAGGTCTTCATCTTTCAGGCGGCTGAAAGGCGACTCGGAGAAGGATTCGCCGCCTCTCAGTCCGATCTTGAGCCCAAAGCGCAGCAGAAACCAGCCCTGCGGCTTTCCGCGAAGTAACCACAGGTGCAATCTGGCCATATTTTCCCAGCTAACATGGAAGTGCAGGGGACTGTAGAAAGACTACTTTCTTGGAAAGGGCATTCCTGCACTTCCATGTTGGTTGGTGGGAGGGTAATAAGCAGGTTCCGAAAGCATTCCTCGGAGTTCGCCGGGGGGGACATCCCTTCAGCTTACTGAAACGTTCAGGCGTGCTCTGTGACGAAGGGATGTTCGGCCAATGGAAGCGTGCGGAAAAGAAGACCACTGCAAAATAAATGGCACACGACGGCAAGGTTGGCACACCAAAAAGTTAATCTACTTGTCCAGTGGCCATGACTATAAAAAGGGTATCGATGGGTTGAATTGAGCCTCTCCTAAAAGAGAAGGCCCTCCAAACAATTGATTTGCATGGGGTCCTTTGAGAGCTATCCTTGGAAACACCCGTTTCAAACAGGGATCACTTCTTTAAACAATCAAAATAAGGACCGTTGGGATGGGGCCCTAGGTATGCAGCAGGGAAACAGCCACTGCCGACCCTATGAGGCTTTTCTGCTATGGCCAAACAACTCCCCATGGCTCTGCGCCTGTCCAAGGTGCGACTCCCTCCCCATACAGTTGGAACTCGCAGGAACCAACCAACGTGGCTCCAAATTCAAACCAACCTGTCTGGGGCACCGCTGGCCAGACACATCATGTTGGGTAAAATAAAGAAGACAAGCAAGATCCACCCCGTCCTGTGGTCAGGAGCCTCACTTGTGGAGGTACTGTGGGATACTCAGGGGGGAAGTAGATGTCAAAGACCTCAGGCAGGTGCAATGCCAAGAGACCTTTCTCATGCTGCCTGCGTGGATGGGATTGGCGGAGGACCCGAGACAAGTCTAAGCCTCCTGTTCTACATTCAAGCCTCACAAGCAACAAAAATGCTTCCAGCAACTTGATGCTGGAAGTTGGCGTCCAACCCACAACAAAAACCGGCACATGCAAAGCTGCAAAACCGACTGTGCTGCAAATGGAGGGTTTTTTTTAGAGGTCTAAACATCACCTCGTTCTCGGAGGTGTTCTCTTCGACGTACCGCCAACTTTCAAAACAGCAAGCAGTTGCCTGCACAGGCCGCCCACTGAGAATACACAATAAAGCCAAGCCAAATGAAAAGTTCGAAGCAAATACGTACCAAGAGATACCAATATCAACAACATGGTGGTGGGAAACTTCCCTTCTCAATTCCTCAGTGAATCGGACAAAAAAATCAAATCTTGTTGTTGGACAACAAGCTGAAAGTCCAGGAAAAGGAGGAATATGTCTTGCAGTCAATTCAACATGCGACAGCCCATAGTTTTTAATGAAGGGATTTCCCTTGGTGTCATTTCAAGATTGCCTGAAAAACCAAACAACATCCACAAACAATGGCCCGGGTCACAACCAACGCCCTCGACCAGCTGAGATAACTTGGAAATGGTCGCAGAAGGCCCTGCGATTAGTCCGCGCACGCGAAGAAACAAAACCAACACAAACACAAAAACAAACAGGGCCACAACCGCAGAGAGGATCGGAGAAAAACAAAAACAAGATCAACCCATGTTTTTTCTTTCATTTTTTTTCCTCCTCCTCCTCAGTGGAGTACTACTGGAGTACCTGGGTCACCGGACGAAGCAGCCGCCGCTGTAGGGCGTGTCCTCCGGGCCCGTGATTAGGGCTCGCCAGAGCTGCTGCAGCCTCCCGCCGGTGCGGACCAAGACCTCGCGCAGGAGATTTCGTCGGCACGGAGACTCGGACTTCCTGTCTCTTCCATTTGAAAGTCTTCCTCCACTGCCCGCCCCCCCCCAAAAAATATATATATATAAACACACACACAAAAAAAAAAAAAAAAAAAAAACAGGACATATGTCCAGTGAAATTGATTCCTTTTGAAACCAACGGGGGAAAATGAAACAAAATGGAAGTAGGGAAGTGTTCAACAAGTGGCAGGACCGTGGACCCCCAAGCGGCTATGGAGAAGGGTAAGGCCTTTTGGGCGAATTCTTGGCTTGTCCTGGGCTTACCCAGGGATGGCCCCCGCCCATTAGCCCCCCTACCAGTAGTCCAGGCCAACAACATCGACGTCAAGAGATGGGTGTGTGGTTTTTAAGGACAAATTTCGCTAAATTGTGGTTTTTTGGTGGCCTTCACGAAAAAAGGGTACCCTCAAACACTCAAACAAGAACACATGAACAGAAATTAGATAATGAAAGTGGAAATTCCGGAAACAACACGGAAAAGCTACGGGGAAGCTCGCTTTATTCCGATTGCTGCTCCGACCGGCTGCGCTCGCTGCAGCGGGGTGCTCCAAAAACACTGCATGAGTGGACGCTTGGGGCCCAATTCGATTCCAAGTGGTTCCATTCTCGGTATAGTAACTAGGTCCTCCAGGTTAATCAGGGCACCCTTTTTTCCTGTAGTCTATTTCAGTAGGGGAACCCTCCCCCAAAAAAGAAACGGTCAAAGGGCACGCTGGGGGACCTAGGTAAGTAGGGGAACTCGTCTACTCTTCAAAAGCCAACTGGAAAAGAGGTGCAACTGGGATCCACTGGGACGAAGTCAAAGGTGATTTGGTCATTTTGAGGTTGCGAGCACCGCTTTACACGGTGTTAAACGGTGCTTGGGAGTAGTTGCTTACCCTATGCAGCATAACCCTTTCTTGGGAAGACCATTTTTAGCAGGGCAGTCACAAAAAAAATGGGGAAAAGGGTGCCACTGAACAACTGAGATTCTTGGAGAGCCCAGATGGGACACCAGCCACTGGAAACGCTTTGCGGTGTGTCTTTTGAAAAAGTTGGAAGGAAAAACAACAGAAACATAAAGCCAAAAGGAAACCCGCTCTATGGCTGCAAACGTGATGAGTTTAAAGCCACGCATTGCGGAGACTCTAGGTGAATTTGGGCTAAAAACATGTTTTTGTTTAGGATTCGTTTGGGCTAAAAGGTCATCATGATCTTGTTTCAACCTGAGGATGTATTTGGGCCAACAAGATCGCATGGACCAGCTGATTTGGATGGTGTTGACCCCGGATGTATCAACCCATCCTGTTGGGGGATGGTCCATTCAAAAGTGGCCAAAGCCGAGTGCGAGCGTCATAGGAGCAGGTACTCTATGCCACATGGTGTGATACTCGTTCATGTTTGCCAGAGTGGCAGGAATCATGTTGTTCCACACCCAACTCCACAACCCTGTGTGGTTGACATCTTGTGCCATCTCTAAACCCAGACTGTTGGTAACAGCTGGCCAGGCAGTAGTTTGTTCTTGTCGACTCATGGCCTGAGGAGCCGCACCAGGTATGATGCGATCAACTCCGTACACGCCAAATACGTGCGGCAGTTTTGCAGCGATTCAGCCGACATAGGTTGTGTGTCTTCGAGTCGGTATGCAGCGCCAGCTGCAGGCGGATATGTAGGTACAAACCTAACATACCGACGGTTTAGTCCTCTTCCCGCCAAAAATGGAAAACACGCATCAACTCATTTGCCCAAAGGACCCAGAAGAGAAAGGTTAACCTGTTGGGCGCTATGACTAAAATGGTTCCCAACTCAGGGAAAACAACAGGTCAGGTGGGCAAGTGAGCGGGAAATCAACCACCCCTGGGTTTAAGCCTACCTTGGTGGAACCAAAAATGAAACCCTGGCTCGCTCTTTCCTTGGAATGAAGGGATTTTTCTAGTGGATCGACTCGTTTTGGGCAAGTAGTGAATCACTCACTGAGTAGATTGGTCGCAAGAAGGCAATCAAGTGTTGATTTACCACTAAAGTGGCAACCAAACCCAAAAGTCACTGAATTTCAAAGGGAGTTCATGGAGTGAGTAATAGGTAAGCCACATTTTCCTGCTTTTTCTTGGTTACTTGCACCCTCAAACCAAGAGGATACCTACAATGACCGATGTGCTTACACTTGCCGAGTAGAGAACCAAGGGAGCCACCCTCCATTTGCTTAACACTATTGTGTTAGTTTCTCTTGGTTTTGAAGGGAATCTATCACTGGAAATATGTTTAGTGCTTGTGGGGGTTAGAGGTTCCCTTGGTTCCCTTGGCAAGTGCAACCACGCCTTTGATTCACCACTCCAAATTGCTTAACCACACTTTTTATTTACCACTCCAAATCAGTAACACCTTTGATCCACCACTCTTTGGGTTTGATTAACCACTCCCTTTGATTATCCACTCCCATTGATTAAACCCAACAAGTCACAGGGAACTCAGACGTCAGAAGTGTAACCCAGAAGTGTAACCACACCGGTCATTTGCCACTCCAAGTCTCCAAACCCAAGTGGTCACAGGGAACGCAGGGAGTGAGTAACCGCATCTGTGATTAACCCCAAAGAGTCACAATAGTGTTAAGCAAATGGAGGGTGGCTCCCTTGGTTCACCTTTGATTCACCACTCTTTGGGTTTGATTAACCACTCCCTCTGATTAACCACTCCCTCTGATGAACCACTCCCTTTGATTAACCACTCCCTTTGATTTACCACTCCCTTTGATTTCCCACTCCAAATCTCCAAACCCAACAAGTCACGACTTGGTTGACGGTGGAAGGTTGACGTTGGAAGGGGAGCAAAAAGATAAATTTTAGCAGTTGAGTGGTTGGATTTCAACCACTAAGCCACAGTAAGCAAAGCTGTTTCTAATCTTTCCCAACGACAACCATGTAATCCCCACACAGTTGGAAGGAACCTCGCAGGAACCAACCAACATGGCTCCAAATTCAAGCCAACCTGTCTGGGGCTTTATTGTCATCAGGCCCAGGGTGGCCTAGGGACCCTTCCTCATGGGACATATGTATGGATTGCCGCCCCGCCCCGAAACGAATGGCTCTGGCTTTCTCTTGGCAGAACAACCAGGGACTTATTTATTGTTCCAACGACAACCATGACGAACTCGGGGACTTTGTTGTCACCCAGGGCCCCCCGCCACCGAGGAGTCCGACAAGGGCAGCAGCGCCCCCAGGCCCGCGAGCTCCTGGAACCCGCTACCAGCGGGACCAACGGAGACCAATGGAGAAGCCGCTTCTTGGCGGCCGAAAAACAAAGCGTGCTTTTTTGTGGTGTGGCTTCATTTTTTTAGGTGTGGCTTCTTTCTTTTTGGTGTGTTGTGGTTGTTGTTTTGCTTGGTTTTTGTTCTTGTTTGGCGTTTGTTCCCGTTGTTGGGTGGGGGGGGGGGCGGGTTATATATATATATATATACATATAGTGTTAGGTGTTGGGTTTTGGCTTGTATTCTGTGTTGCGTTGTTTTGTTGTGTTGATTTGTTGTTTTGTTGTCTGTCGTTCTCCACTTTTGGATAATTTAGGTAGAGTATATAGTGTGCGTATCTGTTTTCTGAGGGCACCCAACCACAGCTGCAAACAAAAAGAACACACAGCATTTGGGTGAGAATTCACGTCCACCAGCCACTTTTGAGGTGGTTTCCCATTGAATTTCATAGCCACGTACTTCTTTGGTTTCCTGTTGGTTTCCCTTGCCAACCAGGAGAGGGCCCCCAAAAGAAGACGGCACACCGACAAGCAAAGTTGGTGTTTCAACCAAGTTTTTGTCAATGGTTTTGCATTCCCACACCAAGTGGCAAGTGAATTGCAAAAGCCAAATTGGTCGATAGCTCTGTATTTCCACAGCAGGTGGCCTGTTAATCGCAAAGCCTGAGCAGTGTGTCAGTGTTCAACCCAAGTTTGGGGCTATAGCATTACATGTCCACACCAAGCGGCCTGTTAATCGCAAAAACCCAAGCTTGTTGAGCAGTGTGTGAGTTTCCAACCTACGTTTTTGCCGATAACATATTTTCACAGCCAGCGGAAAAAAGAGTCAACTATTGTTAAGCATTTTGTTTGCCAAGCCAAGTCATGCCGCATAGCTCCTTCTTTCTGGCCTTGCGCCGCACGTGCCATACGCTATCCCCCCCCAAAAAAAAGAACTGTAAGCTGATTTGCCGCGCAATCACGTTTGAGTCTGGCCGAGTGTTGTGACACTTATACAATTTCTCTACAAAACAGATCCCGTCACTTCTACCGTAGCGCTGCCTCCCGGGGCAGGTAGTTGAGCCCTGATCCTTCCAACTATTCCAAACACCCCACCCCATCGCTTTCCAGAAGGAAACTTCCAAAAGAGCTCTGTGCTCTTCCATATGGGCGTCTCTTTTTGAGGGTACCCCATGTTTTGGTGAAGTTAAAGAAGAACATCACCAATCTGACGCTTTCCATATGCCTAGCCCTACACTAAAAAATCAAGAGGCCCGCAGCCGTTTAGCAAATCAAAAGCCTGGTCCTCGCTAAGATGTCAACTTGACGTGACTTAGCCTCCTGCAAAAGTTATCCTTTTGCCGGTTGAAAGGGAAGCTGACGGAAAACCCAAACAGCAAAAGTTGAAAAGGCAAGTCTGGGAATGAAACAGCATCTTTGGTTTCGCTTGCCCAGTTCGGACCCAGAAAATACAAGGTGATCACCTTTTGGGGCCATGACTGAAAATGGTTACCAAACACAAAAGAAGTCATGTCAGGCCGATTGGCTTTGGAGAAATGAATGGTTGAACCAAGCTCAAACGCCTCCCACCAATCCTGGAAATCCCATATAAGGCCAAAAAATAACTCTTTATTCGATGTGTCCAAAAAGTATGGGGAATGGCTTCAGTCTTCCCTTGGATTCCCTTTTCAACCCAACCAAAGGCTACCCTTCGCCAAGTCGTCTCCTTGGCGAGGCGCAAAGTCCTTGCCTCAGCATCCCGAACTCGTCGCCCACTTTGAACCGACACATACTGTGGATGGACAAAATCCTGCGACACCTATGACACCATGGGAAACCTTCTTTAAGCTCTTAGGTGCAGGATTTCGTCCACTGGTAGCTCAGTTTCCCTCGTTGTTTGGTGGTTTGGAAGGCTGAGAGGTGGTTTCCCCATCTACCCTCTACAAGCACCAGGGGTTCCAATCCCCACCACCAAACCACCAACTAACTACGGGGCCACGGAAAAAACTGCAACACCCAAAAGGGAAAGCTAGAGTTTGGACCCAAACACAGGTGATTCACCTTTCGGCCACAAACTTATGGCAGGCCAAAGACGCAAAACTGAACTGGGCTGTCCTCAGATCCCCCGCGAAAAGTTCAACTTTTAGTGGGTCAAATGAAGAGAAAAACAAAAAAACGCACTCAACGCTAAAAGGCTCTAAAAAGCAGATCCCCCGCGAACAGTTCAACGGTCCAATGGAAGAAAAAAAACACTCAACGCTGAAAGGGATCTGAAAAAAAGCTAAGGAACCGGATCATCTCTACTCTTGGTATGGTAGCAAAAAACTTTGTTTTTTGCAGACCCCCAGTAAAAATGAACAGAACCAAAAAACTAAAAAACTAAAAAACACGCCTTCGGGATGGCCCTCGGGAGCCAGGAAAGTGGTCTTGGTTCGCTGAGCTAAGCTCAGGCCCCGAGAGGTGGCCTGGAGATCCTCACGGAGCCCCGCTGCGCTCGTCTTTTCGCAGGCGCCGCGGTTTTTGTTGACCCAGGATCTAAGTAGAACCTGTCCCATAGGGGGGTGGAAACGTGTCCACCCCTCCAAAAGTGATAAAGCCCCACTAAAAGGGGACACCCCCCTATTAATCAACCAGGGGTATATTAATCCGGGGTTAACATTGGGTCTGTCAAGCAAAATCCAAAGAGCGTGTAGGTCTGTCTAAAACTAAACAGAAGCTGCAAATTGAGGCGGTCAACTTGCGGCCTTTTTTCTGAACCAAAAGAGGCGAGCCGCAAAAACCGGCAGACGAGCCAAAACCGTGGGACCTGAAATGAAGAGATCCCGGCCACGAAGAAACCCGCTTTGTGTGGGTTCAGGTTGGAGGCCCGTGCCTTCATTAGCTTTATGGACCCCAAGTGCACTAAGGGACTCCCTTGAAAGTGACAAAGTCTTGGTTGACGTTGGGTTAGGGGAGCAAAAATAACTATTTTTTTGGCAGTTAAATGGTTGGATTTCAACCACTAAGCCACAATAAGCAAAAATGTATAATGTTTCCCAACGACAACCATGAAGTAGCGTTGGCAATGAGAATCTCAAAAAAAACACAGACAGGGGTTCATGTTTCAAATGCAGCTTGGGGTGTTATTTCTTCCAGTCCCCCTGTTGGCCTGTTGGCGTTTCTTTTGCAAGGTTCGAATGCCCTAAAGCCCAGGTTGAGGCTGGTGAGCCCTGTTCTAGGTATGCCACCCGAACCGAACAAACAACCACGGCGCATTAACACAAGCTTCCAGCTGCTAGTCGCTCAGTTGCTCAACTCAAAGGACCTGGATATCTAATGTCCACATAAGTTTATAATTGGTCCGGCAAAAAGTATGGACCAGCCAGACCCCTTTTTCACCCAATAAAAAATGTTGACAAAAATCACCCTAGTTTTCACCCTGGCCGATCCTCCAGGACCCAAATTAATAAGCCCCTAAAAGAATCACATTCACAAAGTTCCCCAACTGTTTTAGTACTATAAGCAATACAAGTACTACGCGCAGTACTGAAGTACTACAAGCAGTAGCAGTACTACAAGCAAGACTACACAAAACATGTTGTTTTAAAATTTGGAACTTTGGCCCGAACAAAACAAAGGGGGGGACCCCTTTGTATTAAAAGGAAATTGACATTCGAGCCAACTGTTTGGGGCCATGACTTCATTTGGACCGAAACAGGAAACCCCGAAAAAGCCACAAAACGTCGATTCGCTTTGGGTAACTGAGATGAATAAACTCCTCACCTACCTTTATTAAACCACCCTAAGCGCACTGAACTTTAAACCCGCCCTAAACCAGCCCGAATAGCCCACTTTGGATTCGTGGTTTGGCGGGCCCCACCCTCCACAAGAACCAGGTGTTCAAATCCAAAATCAAACCACCAATCCAAACCACCTTTTTTACTGGGCTGCCCTCAGATCCCCCGCTAAAACTTTAGCGGGTTAAATGGTAAACTACCACTACACACTAAAAGGATCTCAAAAGCTAAGGAACCGGATGGCCTTCGGGAGCCACCAAGGAAAGTTGTGGGATTTCAGCTTGGTTCGCTGAGATTCCAAGCAACCAGGTGTTCAAATATGTGTTCAAATCCAAAACCAAACCAATCCAAACATTCAAACCACCTTTTTAGTGTAACCTGAGCAATGTCGAAAGCTCCTGCCAAAGCCCAAGGCCCCACCTCCCCACCTCCCTCCCTCCACGTCGGCCTGCGGCGCGCAGATCTCGGCACGGGCCATGGTGAGAAAGCTGTGGTCTTCTGCGTGCGGCAACGTGGCGACGCAAGGCGCGCGACGTGGCGCCTGCCCGCCTTAAGAGGGGTTGTCAAACACTCAGTTGTCCAATAACCCTGGAAAAAAAGGGATCCTTTTTTGGGGAAGACCATTTTAGTGGGGCAGCCACCAAAAGAAAGGGAAAAAGGGTGCCACTGAACAACTGAGAACACAGGGGTGGCCCTTGGGTGGGAGAATCGCGGATTTCCTTTTGGCTTCCCTTACCCCACAAGCCTACAAAAACACACACACACACACAGCATGGGTATGTTGTCACCGATCTTTTCTACCCTTCAAGCTGCGATTACAATTGACGTTGTTGTAGAACCCCCACCCCTCAAAAAACAACAACAACTAAAACTTATCCAACCACCCCCGCCCCCCCCCCCCCCCAGTTGTAGGGCTCAACAAAAAGGATTGGGAGACCCCTTTGGTCTGTTACAGTTTAGTTTCCCTTCAACCATCTTGGGCTTTCCTTTTCTTCACCCATTAAGAAACTTTAAGAGAACAGATCCTGTATCAAGTTGGAGAACCATGGGGTAAAAACCAAAGGTCACAAATCTTCACTGGCCCTTGAGGGACCCAGAAGGAACAAGTGATCACCTTCTGCATGACTAACACTGGATACCAGAAAGGGGAAACCCCAAGCTGTCATGTCAGGTCGATTCGCCTTGGGCAAGGGAGAACCAGGCGGTCGGATTCTCCATTGAGCAAGTACTCGAAGACTCCCAACTCGAAGCCTTCCCCATCCTTCAGACGCCAGGAGTTTCGACCGCCAACAAGGTCTTGCCGTGCCCGCATCAAAAGGCAGACCCAGATAGAGCCCATGGGGAGATTCTGCACTTGCAAAGCGACCCCTCGCAACCGGACAATGCATAGTGTCAAGCAGAGCCAGGTCAAACATGAACCTGCAGCAGTTGCCAAATGCGCAGTGTCCAAGGTCACTCTGAACGTGCTCCTCAACAAACCCACATGAGTGTCCTTTCTTTAGGGGGACCCCTGAAATGGTGGCGCTCGACTTAGTGCTCCTGCAAAAACCAACTCCCAAAGAAAGGTACCCTCAGAAACATCAAAAAACACACCCACATTCGTGTCCTTTTGGTAAGATAGACAGCCCTGGCAAATCGAATAAGCCAATCTAAACCAGTGGAATCCGTCGATGTCTAACCGAACTAACCGAGCCAAAGGACACCTATGCTTAAAAAAAACCATCCTAAAACCCATCCCAACATATGTAACTACCCTGGAAAAAAAGAGACAACTGCAAGTGTTCCCTTGAAACCCACCCCGCAAAAGGTCAGCTACCCTCAAAAAACAGGCATACTTCATTCGCATTCCTATTTACACCCACCCCAAAAAAGAGGCAATATTGCCCTGCTACCCTCAAAAAGAACCCCCAAAAAAGGTCCCCCCCCCCACCAAACCCAACAGAAGATACACCCCCCTCCCTCCCCCCCTCCCCTCCCCCCCCTCCCCTCCCCCCCCCCCAAACCCAGTGACCCCCCACAGATCCTTGCGGCGCCTTCCAGGTCCCCGGAGTCCAGCCGCAGCCCCGCGAGCCGCCGGCAGTACTCTGTCGTGGACGCCTCCCCTGACGCCGGGTGGGGCGGGGGACGCAGTCCGTCGTAGACCTAGATGAACGCGTCAAAAGAAGATGTAGATATGCGTATATGTATAAATATATATATATATATATGTATATATCTATTCAGATGCACATAAAACAATATATAGATATGGTAAAAACAATAGGGTTCTGGTCTAGATATTTATATATTTGTAGAAGATTGGAGAAGCATTCCTACGAAATAGGACTCTTCACAAAGCCCCTGTGAGCTCTAGAAGATATCTACCATGAAAGATGCCGTGAAGCTCACTCGCTCCAACCAAGTTGCCCAGCGGCCCTCCAAACGCAGCCTGCACATGCGCCAGAAGAAAAGCGCATAGGCGCACGGCGCCTATGGGCTACCTGGAACACGTTGTAAAAAGAACTTGCTGGACATCTGGCTCGCATCTGAATACCCGCCGCAGAACGCTTCCGGGGTTGGAAAAGCGGGGTTGGAAAGGCGGAGCGTACTTTCCATCGGTCCCAGAGTCGACCTGGTTTGGGGGAAGAGTGCAGTAAACATTGGTGTCCTTTTTAGGTTAGTCTGGTAAGAAATAGATGGCACTCAGGATCCTTGGGTGACGTATCCTTTTCTAATCCGACCCTTGCATCCTTGTCATTTTCCCCTGGCCTACTTTTTGAGTCAAGGCAACCCAGGCGATCGCCTTTCAAATCCGCCTTGGGTTGCAAGCGAGTTAACGCGGGAAGACCGGGGGAGATCTGCCTGAAATCCTTCTTGGAAACCGAGGGATGGCAGTCTACTGTATCAGCTGGGAGGGCAACCGGCTCAGTTGGTGAACTCTTGGCAACGTGTCTTCCCCTCATGAACACGCTCACTTGCCCAAAGCCGACCTTGAACCTTCTGGTTGCCCTGAGTTGGTCCATAAGGTGCTCTTTGAGTGCCATTTGCTTGGACTCCTGCTTTCCGCATGTTTACTTTAGCAACCAAAATCTAGGTCCTCCAGGGTTAGAATAAGGGTACCCGTTTTTCCGTAGTCTGATTTAGTAGGGGAACCCTCCCCAAAGAAGGGGAAAAAGGGATTGCTGGGGGACCTAGAAAAGGTGAGTAGCCGTTGATTCCATGACCCTGCCATGTCCCAACCTTTCAACTTCACCTCGTGGTCCCCAGTTTGCTGGGTCTGACTCACGTTTCCCACATCCTTGCATCAGCCATGATCGTGATGCCAAGACTTGCAACCCCAGAAAACATCTTCCGCGCCTGTCGCAACCGGCGGGTCCTTTTGCCTGGCAGGGGGAAAAAAACAGAACAACAAAGCCTTTGGGTAGGAGGGAAGGTGCCAAACCACACCTGAAAATTGTGCCTTTGCCATCTTGTGCTTCAAACAAGGCATTCTTCCTATTTCTTCCTGAAATTTTGAATGGACATGGCCCTGGAAATCTGAGTGGGCATATTGCCCTGACATTATGTATGTCCAGTTGACACCCAACTCCATCCGATTCCCGCAATCTCTGTTGAAGTAGTCTTCCCGAAACTTCCGAAGAAATTCAAATCGCACTGTGAGTACCACTAAAATGGTCCAAACCCAAGTGAGTCAAACTCCAAGTGAGCCTATGATCTTCTGGCACGTACATGTCTGCTCGCTGGGTCCTCTGCCGGGGCTGGGCCTCCAAGTTGGCGCCAGCTTGACGGTTGATTGAGCAGCGAGACAAAACAAACCCAAGCAACTTCACCTTGCGAAGTGATTCACACAAACCAGCTTCCTGCGGTGATTCACATTCTTCACCAGCTTCTTTTCCTGTCACAAACAACACTCTTGCGAAGCGATTCGCACCATGCAAACAGCATCGTTGCGAAGCGATTCAACCGTTCGACCTTTGATGGTATCCTGGGTGACGTGGAAACACGGCTCTCCCCAGCCCCTGGCATGTCAACAGCCAATGCGCCCTTTGCAACATGAGCACAACAAACAAACGCGCAAAACTCAACACGCACCAAGAAAAGTAGAAGGAACGCTCTGAACTTTGCTTGCAGCGTCTCCGATTCCCTTAAAAACGGGGGCCTACCGGGCGTTTGCTCAAACAACTTCTCCCAAGCCTCGCCCAGCCCCTATCCCCCCCCCCCGCCCTCCGTATGTTGGACACTGAGGGTTTATTTTGGAACTGCCTTCTTTAGGGGCATTACGCCCCCCGGAAAAACTATCATTTCCGGTAGTGATAGCTTCCTGTTAAAACCAACAGTGGGAAAACAAAACAAATATTCATTTCAGCAGCTGGAAAAAATAGAAGAAACGTCCGCATGTCCATGAAAACCCACGCCCCATCCTCCCCTTCCCCCCCCCGTTCCCTCCCCCAAAATGCCCCCCCTGAACCCAACTCCCCCCCCCCAACTCCCTTCCCCCAACTCCCCCCCCCCCCAACCCGCCACTCCCCCCCCCCCCAACCCGCCCCTCCCCCCTCCCAACCCCCGCCGCCGCCCCGCCTGGCCGCCGTCCCCACCTCCACCACCAGCTCCGCGAAGCGCCGGCCCTGCGCAAAGCTCTCGCTCTCGGGCAGCGACCGCAGGAAGACTTCCGCCGCAGCCTCGGAGGCGCGCGGAGCTCCGCTTGGCTGCTTGTTTGTTTGTGTGTTTGTTTGTTTGGTTGGTTGTGTGATTGATTGTTTGCTTGTTTGTTTGGTTGTTTTTTGTGTGGTTGTTGGTCTTTTGGCTTGTTTGTTCGGTAGTTTGTTCGGTAGTTTGTTTGTGCGGTTGTTGTTGTTGTTGTTGTTGTTGTTGTTGTTGTTGTTGTTGTTGTTGTTGTTGTTGTTGTTGTTGTTGTTGTTGTTGTTGTTGTTGTTGTTGTTGTTGTTGTTGTTGTTGTTGTTGTTGTTGTTGTTGTTGTTGTTGTTGTTGTTGTTGTTGTTGTTGTTGTTGTTGTTGTTGTTGTTGTTGTTGTTGTTGTTGTTGTTGTTGTTGTTGTTGTTGTTGTTGTTGTTGTTGTTGTGTTGTTGCTGTTGTTGTGCTGTGCTGTTGTGTTGTTGTTGTTGTTGTTGTTGTTGTTGTTGTTGTTGTTGTTGTTGTTGTTGTTGTTGTTGTTGTTGTTGTTGTTGTTGTTGTTGTTGTTGTTGTTGTTGTTGTTGTTGTTGTTGTTGTTGTTGTTGTTGTTGTTGTTGTTGTTGTTGTTGTTGTTGTTGTTGTTGTTGTTGTTGTTGTTGTTGTTGTTGTTGTTGTTGTGTTGTGTTGTTGTGCTGCTTGTTGTTGTTGTTGTTGTTGTTGTTGTTGTTGTTGTTGTTGTTGTTGTTGTTGTTGTTGTTGTTGTTGTTGTTGTTGTTGTTGTTGTTGTTGTTGTTGTTGTTGTTGTTGTTGTTGTTGTTGTTGTTGTTGTTGTTGTTGTTGTTGTTGTTGTTGTTGTTGTTGTTGTTGTTGTTGTTGTTGTTGTTGTTGTTGTTGTTGTTCTTGTTGTTGTTCTTGTTCTTGTTGTTGTTCTGTTGTTGTTGTTCTTGTTGTTGTTGTTGTTGTTGTTTGTTGTTGTTGTTGTTGTTGTTGTTGTTGTTGTTGTTGTTGTTGTTGTTGTTGTTGTTGTTGTTGTTGTTGTTGTTGTTGTTGTTGTTCTGTTGTTGTTGTTTGTGTTGTTTGTTGTTGTTGTTTGTTGTTGCTGTTGCTGCTGCTGCTGCTGCTGTTGCTGTTGTTGTTGTTATTGTTGTTGTTGTTGTTGTTGTTGTTGTTGTTGTTGTTGTTGTTGTTGATTGTTTGCTTGCTTGTTGGTTGTGTTGGTTGTTTGTTTGCTTGTTTGTTTGCTTGTTTGGTTGGTGGTTTGCTTGTTTGTTTGGTTGCTGGTCTTTCTGCTTGTTTGTGCGGCTGTTTGCTTGTGTGGTTGTTGCTGTTTCTGGTTGGTTGGTTGTTTGCGTGCATTTCTTGTTTGGTTGTTGTTTTTTGTGGTTGTTGTTGGTTTGTTGGTTTGCTTGTTTGTTTGTTTGTTTGTTTGTTTGTTTTGTTTGTGTGTTTGTTTGTTTGTTTGTTTGTTTGTTTGGTTGTTGGTATTGTTGCTTGTTTGTGCGGCTGTTTGTTTGTGTGGGTTGTTGTTGTTGTTGTTGTTGTTGTTGTTGTTGTTGTTGTTGTTGTTGTTGTTGTTGTTGTTGTTGTTGTTGTTGTTGTTGTTGTTGTTGTTGTTGTTGTTGTTGTTGTTGTTGTTGTTGTTTCTGGTTGGTTGTTTGTTTGCGTGTATTTCTTGTTTGGTTGTTGCTTTTGTTGTGTTTGTTGGTTTGTTTCGTTAAAAAGTGTTTGTTTGCTTGCTGGTTTGTTTGTTTGCTTGCTTGTTTGTTTGTTTGTTTGCTTGTTTGATTGTTTGGTTGCGTGTTTGTGTGTGTGTTGGCTGGTTTGTGTCTTTCATTGTTGATTTCTTGGTTGCTCGCTTGCTTGGCTGTTTGTTGGTTTGTCTGGTTGCTGTCCGTGGTTTCGCTGGAAATATGTGTTATATTGCGGAGCAGGTGCCAGTTGACAAGGCAGCGCTTGTGAGTGCCCAGTTGGCTGGTGTCTTTGTTTTCCTGGTTTTCTGCCATTTCGGGCCACCCGGAACGCCAACCAATTCCATTTTAGGAGTATTCTTGGCAAGCGCCCAAATGAGTCCGAGAAAGCCAGGGCACCCGTGATCCTCTTATCGGAGAAAAAAAGGGGGAAACACACACCATCCGCTGTTGGTGTCCTGCTGGAAAATGGGCTCCAGGATCTAGATGGTCCCTGTTCATGGTGTTCCGGTGGGAAAGTGATGAGGTGGCAATTAGCTGACAAAATTCCGGCGTCGCCACTTGCCAAACTCTATCGGGGGGGTTTGCTAAACCTAATTTCGTGACCCGCAGTGCTGGATACAACTACGCGGCCCCTGCTCAAAGGCCATCCCTCTCAATGTCATTCCCTTGGAACCGTGACTGAACATGGGCCAAAAATGAAAGGCCCAGTTGCCCAGTTAAACCTTTTTGTAGTTAACACGTTTGAGTGAGGCAGCACCAAACATGGGATCTACAGGGCGGCCTGGGTCAAATCTGACGCTCTGAGATACACCAAAAGTAACATGGTCCGATTCTATGTAATACAAATCCAACTGAAACAAATCACTAGGTATTTCTCACTGGCCCAGTTCGGAACCTTGACTAAATATGGTTGCCAGATCAGGGAAGCCAACCGGTCGCTGAGAAGCTTCCGAGGCCCAAAAGCTTAAAAACAAATGTATTTTCGCCTTGGGCACCTGAGATGTTCGTTTGAGACCCCCGCCATGACCATAGCCTCACTTGCCCCTTAAAATCCTGGACATAAAAGCTTGGTTGACGTTGGAAGGGGAGCAACAATTCTAAAAGTTTAGCAGCTAAGTGGTTGGATTTCAACCAATAAGCCACAACAAGCAAAAATGCTTCTAATCTTGCCCAACGACAGCCATGAAAGGGGATCCGCTTTTGGGACCTTGAAAACTGGTTGCCAAATCAAAATGGGAAAACCAACAGGTCAGGTCCCAAACTGGGCAACTGAGCTCAGACGCCAGAGCTCAGGTCTTCTCGGAAGGTAAGTCCACAAGCTTGGGGAGCGAGAGGAGAAACAAGTCACACCAGCAGAAGGTAAAATTGCAGCTCGTTGTTCAACGGAGTAACCCTCCCCATCTTGATTGACGTTCGAAGGGGAGAAACATAAATGAGTTCCAGCAGTTAAGTGGTTGGAGTTCGCACTAAAATCAAATTTTGGCAGTTGAGTGGTTGGACTTCAACCACGAAACCACCAGCAAACAAATTTTCAAATGCAACATGTCTCCCAACAACCACCATGCCATAGCGCCAATCTCGCCCCATAGCCCCCCGTAGCCCCCCGTAGCGGCCTTGCAGGCGCCCAGGTTCTTCAGCAGCGGCCCCAAGACCTCCGCCGGCCTCGGAGCTGGGCTTGGCGCCGTGTTTTTCAAGGAACGCCCAGGGCCGGTTGAAGCCTAGGTCCTTAGGTCCTCCAGAGCTCAGAGCTTAGAAGAAGGATTAATAAGACAAGATGGTACCAACTTTCTTTCTTTTCCCCGGTTTTGTCTATTTTTAGTAGGGGAACCCTCCCAACCAAAAAAAGGGTGAGAGAAGGGCACTACTAGGGGACCTAGAAGCCCCACGTGTTCGGCGAAATGAGTAGATTCGTGGTAACCTATGATTAGAAAACCCACGAAGTTTCCAAACATGGAACTAACCCTGTTATTCGTGGGTTCCTTGGCCGAACATCCAAGTGAGGAACGCCCCCAAGGGACCCCAAAAGGAATTGAACCTCTAAGCAACCTTTTAAGGAACCCCCCAGCAACCCTGTGGAACCGCAAGACTCCAGGAATGGGAACCTTGAGAAACCCCAAGGTTCGCTAGTTCCCGCAGTCGGAAACAACCCCCCCTGCAAACGACATCAACAAACATTTTAATCCCTCGCATGAACCCCTAGTTGGGTTGATTAACTACTGCTTTTGCAATCATGTCTTACACTCCTGCAAACTGACATGGAACCAAAACAGAGTCATCCTTTTTGGAGGCATCTCCATTTCAGGACCCTTCTTGTGCCAAAAAAAACACAAGCCAGCCACTAATAAGAGGACGTCGATCTCATGAGACCACGCTGGTGGCCTAGAAACTGGTGCACCTTACTCCTCGGTTGCGCCTGCCAAGCCCTGCGAAAAGTGACTAACTTTCAGTGGTTTAATACGGACAACCAATTCATTAGTTGGCAACAAGTTATTCAGTCCTAACATCCCTTGACAAAACGGTTTCATGAGGTTAGTGTCGGGAAGCTAAAGATCGCCTCCTGTTGGGCTTGCCGTGGGCTGCAAGTTTGTGAAGGGGGGCTGTGGCTTGATGGTAGCGCGTCCGCTTCGTAGATCAAGTCCTTCTAGTCTTCTTGGCTCGCATTTGTTCTTTACTTTTTGACTTTATTGAATTTCCCTCCACCTGCGGCGTCGTGTGAGTGGAATACAGACCCAGATTCCAGTCTGGGAACCCCTGGAATATAAAAAGGGGGGGAGGGGGGGGGGGGAGGTGCAGAGGGGAGGATAATATTTTTTGGGGGGAGAGGGCAAACAGCCAAACTATACTGTTGCCGCCGGGATCTCCCAACAAAAACCTGCGGATTCCGGAGAGCATCTACTTCCGGCACACTGATTCTCAAGCCGTGGGGCAAAAGAACGAGTAACTCCTTGACCAGGCCCAGCACTTCTTCGAAGTAGACTGGCCTGGCGCGCACAACGCCGCCGAACGCTGGCAGCTTGTGGTAAGGCCTCTAGTGCTGCGCAACACCTGTCTAACCTTGGCATATTGCAACCCACTTGGAAGAACATATGCCAAGAACGGTGAAAACAACTTTGCTCGCTCTTTGCAAGCCACTTAGAAGAACATGCCAAGAGGGGTTAAAGCAATCTTGCTCTTTGCAAACCTACTTTTGAAAAACATGTCAAGAACGGTACCAAGAATGGCAAAACAGACTTTGCTCTGTGCAGCCCAAGTAGGAAAACACATGCCAATAACGGTGAACTGCCCATTGTCAAGCCCACTTCGGAAAAATATGCCAAGAACGGTGAAACAACCTTGCTCTTTGCAACCCACTCATGCAAACATATGCCGAGAAGGGTGTTCAGACAGTTTGCTCTTTGCACCCACTTAGGAAAACATGCCGAGAATGTTGAAGTAACTCCTCTAAATCACACACACACACACAGCCCTTGAGTAAATGAGGCTAACATCTGGGTCCCTGTTCCTTGGATATTCCTGTGGGTTCTCCTTCTGGCCATGTGACCACAACGGATGCAGGATACTTGGCCAAACAGATCCGGCCCCCAAAAATGACAACTTCTTGCTGGACGAAAAGACCTGCTCGTGCTCAGTAGGGGTTGGGAATGAAACTAGGGATTCGCTTGAAGGAAACCATAGGGGATGGTTTATAGGGGTCATCCTAATTCCCTGATGAGAACCAGCAACAAAAGCGAAAGGCAACTAACTGCTCTTAAATGGAAATCTACCACCCACCATGTTTCTGCTTTTCAACAATATCCAACATCCCTTGATACTGCCCAAAACGCAGTGGTTGGGGGCTGCTGGTAAGTCTGTTTTTGTTGTTTTGCGATGCTGCCCTGTTCGGGAATGGGCTTTAACGAACCAAGGGGTAACGACACGGCGACACGGGATACTCGACACTTGGATGCTTGGTTGGTGATACCCAAGGTCGAGATGTGTCACCTCCATGGAAATCATAGAAATGCCAAAGTGAATTCGCAAAGCCTCGTCCTTGACATCCTCCTTTGAAGGCGTGAAAAAAAAAAAACACATTCGCACTACTCAAGCAAACGGACATTGCTTTCTCTGTGCCTTTTCTGGGGCACTTCAAAAACCATGGATGTTGGTTTTTGGTTTGAATCCAAGGCAAACACATGTGGTTTTTGGATTTTTGTAGGGAACTAGAAAGACACTAATGAAAGTCCAGGGACACCCCAACCCCTCAATTCCATTTTTGAAGGTACGAAAAGGTCGACTTTGGATGAACATGTTCATTCACTTCCGCGTTGAACATGGTCCCTCAGGCTGCCTGTCGCCCATGTCGGTGTAGGAAGTGGCAAGCTCTCCTGAAGGGGGGCGTTCACGTGGGGCCACTCAAGCGATCGTAACCAACACTTCAGCCCCCAAATGACTCTCCCCTACGGCTCTGATTACGGCTCAGTCTCGGCGGTGCCGGAGCCTCTGGTTCCAATTTCTTGGGGTTCAAGCTTCCGCTCACTTCCGATCGACTCGCCAAAATGGTCTTCTCAGAAAAAGTTTGAAGTCCATGAACTCGGGGAGCGAGCCAACTGAACTGCGAAACATAACCAACGAATCAAAGTTTTACCATGGTTCGTGTACGGTCAGGGGGTCGAAGCTCTCAGTGCTCATGCTCACAACGTAGCCTTCCCCAAGAAACAAAACATGCTGTTTGCCCCGATCAGTACCCGCCGAACAAATCTGGCATGGGTCTGGCAGTGAAGCTGATGACATGCAACTGGGATTGATACAACGACGTAAGCGGCCAACAAAAGGTGCGAAAGAGTATGCTCATGCAACACTACAGCGAGCCAGGCTTAATGGGCCAAAGGTTTGGGTTTGGGAGGTGTCTCTTTGCAAGCTGCTGCTGGTGAAATGGCAACCCAACTGAAAACCACGATATTGCATGTTCAACTAACTCGCCTAAGGACACCGGCGACAAGATGCTTCGCAATGCTTCGCATGATTGCCTAGATAAAAATCCAAAGCGCGAAACCCCTGAAACTGTCTTCAGTTGTGGTCCTTTAAAGGCTGGAACAAGCCCTGCGCCGGGCATAAAGTTGCGGGAAACCTCTTCTGTGACACCGGGTCAGCTCCAATACTGCTTTATCACGTTGAACAGTGCTGATTCCTTTGACTCCCAAGTGCGTGCCCTAAGGCCAACTAGTCGATGTGCAGATCTGTCCTGGCTTGGTCGTTTTCCGTTGCAACTCACAGAAACTGACCACCCAACCTGGGTCCTGAAGGCACAAACCCCGAAAACCACCTGGCACATGGTGTTCACCCTGTCAAACAGCTGGTGCATGTCGTGTTCCTTGGCCAAACAGCTGGTGTCATTTGAGGAGCCCTAGCTAAGCTGCCCGGTCCCCCGCGGCAAGTTTTACTAGCGGAACTCCAACCACCAAACCAACTAAAAAAAACAAAAAAACTCTCCGGGGACAGCTGGGCAACCAAGCTCAGTTTCTCATTTCCCTTCATTTCCCCTGTAGTTCCATGGGTTCTCCACTTCCCTTCTTCCCTTCTTCCCTTCTTCCCTTCTTCCCTTCTTCCCTTCTTCCCCTCGTTTCCAAGGCATTCTCCACCGACAAGCGTCGAAAAAACCGCGCCGATACTTGGGGGGGACGGTCGTTGCCTGCCAGGAAGGGCACGAGGCAGCTCTTCGCCAGCAGCGCTGCCAGCTCCTCCCGCCCGCCTGAGAGGTGGGTTGGTTGCCACTGGCCAATTTCAAGAAAAAATGATCCTTGGGGCGAAACTCGGGCGAAAGTCGGACCCACCCAGTCATCCAGTAGCCCCAACACATATATATATATATAGGTATATACATATAATAGAGGGGGTTGATGACTCGGGGACGCCAATTATTCAGCTAAGATTAGGTCCACATAAGCTTGGTCCCAGTTTCTGGGTCCGAGGCTGCTTGAGACAAGGGATGTATCCTTATATGGGGGGTCTGTCCTGGGGGTTTGTCCTTTTTTGAGAGGGTACTCCTTTGATTTGAGTCAGGAGTCAGGAAAACATTGTCTTTCCATATTTCTCGGGGGTTCCCTTGGAAGAGAAGTTGAACAACTTTTGCCCAACCCTGGGTGTCTGCCAAATTTGCGGGGGAACGTGGCCAATGGGGACAATTTTGGGGCAGTCATCCAGTAGCCCCAATACTAGGGTTGATGACTTGGAAAGCCATATATTCAGCTACCGGCGACTTGGGGAAGCCGTGCAGTGAGTTGGCCTCCTCTGGCCCATTTCCAGCAGCAAATGATCCTTGAAGCCAAAAAACCCGGGCGAAAGTCGGACCCATCCAGGCCAGTAGCCCCACGAGTTGGGGGGTTGATGACTTGGAAAGCCACTTCTTCAGCTAAGATTAGGTCCACATAAGCTTGGTCCCCACTTTCTGGGTCCCACTGCTGGCTTGGCCCAGCTGAAATGAGGGATGTATCCTATGGGGGGTCTGTCTTTTTTTTGGTGAGGGTACCCCCTTTGTTTTGAGCCAGAAGGGCATTGTCCTTCAAGTTTTTTCTTGGGGTTTCCCTTGGAAGAAGACCGTATGTTGGTTGTGTTGAACAACTTTTGCCCAACCCTGGGTGGGTGTCCACCATACCTTTCCCCTCGCCCTCTCACGCGTTGTTGTTCCGTCTTTTGGCAATAGACGCCAATCGCCCCAGAACCCTCCCGTTGCCCTACCCACTTTTTCCTCTTCAGCGAGCTTATAATTCAGCGGTCAAGACTTGCAAATAACCAGCGAATTGCGTGCTAGCTTTCGAAGGGTGGTTTTCCTGGTCTCCAACTGTACTGAGAACCACGGATTACTCGCTCTCATCCTACAATTGGAACGTGTCTCACCCAGAAAAGTCCACTCGCGATCAAAATTAACTAATTATTGGGTGTCCTTTAGGGGGCGCAAATAATGAAAACCGTTGGCGCCCAACAATATACTGGAATGACCGCCTCTCACACGAAAACTTGCCAAGCTGAAGTGCCAAGTACAACAAGGATAATTTGCTGACAGGTCATGACCACTTCCATTTGAAACACTTCAAACCAAGGTGTAAAGACGGTTTCAATGCGATTTAATACGGTTTCCTCCTGATTGTTCGCTCGTTTGGTGCTCTTTCAGTACTCGTTAAATGCCTTTCCAGGGATGGCTCCGCAACAGCAGCATCCAAAGCGTACCGTGGACCAATGCAGGAGAGAAACAACCCCAGCCGAACAGAAGCCGCTTCCCAAGCCGGAAGCATGCTAAGCCCAAACACGACCGTTCTCAGTGCTGCCATGAAAGAGAAGCAACACATCCAAACATGAGCAACGACCAAAACCCATCAACTTCAAGTTCCAAGATTTGTGTGCAAAAGAAAACACATGGCCGGGTCAAAATCCGGTACCCCCAGTGAACATCCCAATCCCCACTAAAATCAAGTACCACCCAAAATGGTGCCATCGATTTTGACCCACAGCCACATAGATTTATTGAACCAGGGAGTCATAATCAAAACCTGGTGTTAAAATGGTGCACCCAGAAACACGCTTCAAGAACTAAGAAGGCGGAACATTTTCCGCAGCTATTTATGGCAAGGGGGTTGTCCCTTACTAGCCTTCATCTACCCGCCTCTACCCGGGTTTTTTGGCACGGGGCTCACCTCAAGCTGCCGCTTTCGCCGTGGCATGGCAAACCGCTCTGGGCTGGGCGCCTTGGAGCTCCTGCCAGAGGTGGCTGCCTCGGACGCAAGGAGAAGCAACTTCAGTTCCGATCCCCAAACTCCCAACTGAGGTGCCCCCAAACTCATTGATCAGGGGCAGCCACAACCACAGCAGCAGCCGAAAACGGAAACGCAGCCGCAACGGCATCAATTCCTTGTTGGCAGCAATGGGATTGTGTTTCTGGCTCCATTTCTCATGGTCCCCAAGCTCTAGTGTGGGGAGACCAGCACGCGTGTGATCCTTTTCATGTACGGTCAATGTTCGTGGTTTCCCTTCGGCCGCCCCAAAAAAACTCGTTGACTACTTGCTGCAACGACCCCCCCCTGCACAAAGTGAGCTTCACGTTTGGGGGGTTTAGTGGAAAGCGCAGCTTGATTTCAACCAAAAAGTTGAAGTCTAAAGATTCGTTACCCAATAGCAGTCAAAAGTTCCGATCCCCAAACTCCCAACTGAGGTGCCCCCAAACTCATTGATTAGGGGCAGCCACAACCACAGCAGCAGCAGCCGAAAACGGAAACGCAGCCGCAATGGCATCAATTCCTGGTTGGCAGCAACGGGATTGCGTTTCTGGCTCCATTTCTCATGGTCCCCAAGCTCTAGCGTGCCAGGGAGACTTTCATGTACGGTCAATATTCATTGTTTCCCTTCGGCCGCCCCCAAACTCGTTGACTACTTGCTGCAACGACCCCCCCTGCAAAAAAGTGAGCTTCACGTTTGGGGGGTTTAGTGGAAAACGCAACTTGATTTCAACCAAAAAGTTGAAGTCTAAAGATCCGTTACCCAATAGCAGTAAAAAGTTCCCCCAAACTCCAAACTGAGGTGCCCCCAAACTCGTTGACCAGGGGTACCTTCCCCATTCCTTCCAGGGATCCTTTCTACACAACCTCAAGAAACCCGATCGGAGAAAATTGCTGGTCTTGAAAAGAATGATGGTTGAAAAGAGTGGGGAGTCAAACCCTAGAACTATAGAGAAACCTTCCTGGACTTCCTGACCTTCGGCTTTGATAACGATCCTCCATTTTTTTCGCCGCGGCAGGGCCGTCGAAAGCTGGCCATGGATATTGGGCCAGTCGGGGAGTGCATCGCCCTATCAAACTAAGGCCCTCCCCCCCCAGCCCCAAATTGAACGAAACACGACCAGGGTACATCCCTGGTTTTGTTTGCAACGGATCGGCCTATTTCAACCGCCAGGCTGCGACAATTCTACTCTTCGAGGTGCCGACCATCGCAAGTCCCCCTCAAGAAGCTCACTCAAATTGGTCTTTCGCCCCAAGGTGTCCAAAAACTAGATCAACCAGTCGCGCCAACCACAAACAAATGGACTAATGGTTGTTGTGTCTCCCCTGTTCTCTCGGTGTTTTATCCACTTGCTAAGCCACTACTTGGTAAATCTGGTATGTTGGTCTTGTTCTGCGCTGATCTGGGTGTTCTATCCACTTCTTCAACCACTGCTTGAACATATCCTCCGCCTTTTTTTCCCGTTTTATCCCCCCCACCAAAGGCACACACACCTTTCAAAAAAACGGAAGCCACACGCCTGCGCCGACCCGCCGAGACCGGCCGCGACTCGCGACCTTTCTGGATCGAGGGCACGGATTTGGCCCACCAGCTGCTGCAGCTCCTGGTCCTGGCGTGTTTGATTCTGAAACTCAGCTGGATCCGCCTCACCTTCTACCCGGGCTTTGCAAAAATATTCCACTGGGGAGCTATTCCCCCATAAACCACCATTTGGCGAACTCGCTCACCTTCTACCCGGGCTGTGACTATTGGTCATTTCTGGGTGAATTATCATATTCCACCAACTTGAAATAAGGTGGTTGGGGAGCTATTCCCCACATAAACCACCATTTGGGGTGAGGTCGTGTGAAGTCATTATACTTAACCCAGTCAATTTGAACCCTCAAACTACACATTTAAGAAAAAGGAATTCACCCCAGAATTTTGGGGCTTCAACCCTCAAACTACACATTCAAACAAAGTGAATTCGCCCCAGAATTCTGGGGCTTGAACCCTCAAACTGCACAAAAAAGGAATTTGCCCCAGAATTCTTGAGCAAAGAGCACACATACTCACTTGCTCAGTTTGCACCCAAATGCAAGAGGGCATTACCTTCTGGGGCAACCAAACACGCCGGGAGAATGGTTCCAAGAAAGCCAGCGATGTCCAGCATCAAAACCAAATTTCTGGGACACATGGATCCGACCTCCGGCAAAACGATCTCTGCCAGCAAAAGGGGCACAGGAAAACAAAAGGGCAAACGTGCAAGGTGAGTTAAGCTCGGCAGTGTAAACAACAACCCGCACATGTTCATTGAACAAACCGTTTTGAAGGAGGACAAATCTGAAAGAAACAGGGCAACCACCCGCAAAACATCCAGAGATATGGGTGCTTCCCAAAATAGGAAGTGGTGCCCTACATGCCTGGTGTGCTTTTGGTTCCCCTTTAGATGCCAACCGAAAAGGAGTCCAGAACTCCCAGTTGGCCTTGAAAGGATGACGAAACCAAAACGGCTGGTACAAAGGCGATGAAACCACGGGGGAATTGCGGCCTCGACTTTCACCCAACAGTAACAATCTGTGGCTCGTGGGCTCACTGAGGGAGTGAGCCTGAACAGAGGGAACCAAACATCAGGTTGTTGATACTCCAACGGGTGATTTCCTTCAAGGGATCCCGATGTGTCCCTTTTAAACATCACCTCAGGAGGAAACTCGCCTTAAATTGGCCCGAAAAGTGTTGCTTAAAACCATTAAAGGGACGTATGCGCATGAAGTTCAGTGGGGGCGGGCCTTGGGCGGACATCGTCATTTAAGTGGTTTCCTGTGAACAAAATACTATACTTCGAGTGATCCCCACCTTTGAATTGCAAAATGCAAGCAAATCAATGGCACGCAAGCTCTCACGGTCAGTGTGGGAAATAAAGGAGGAACGGGAGCACATGAGGCACAGAAGGAGAAGCGGAGGAAAAGAAGGAAGGGGATGAGCAGGAGGAGGAGGAGGAGGACGAGAGGAGGAAGAGGAGGAAGAGGAGGAAGAGGAGGAAGAGGAGGAAGAGGAGGAAGAGGAGGAAGAGGAGGAAGGGGAGGAAGAGGAGGAAGAGGAGGAAGAGGAGGAAGAGGAGGAAGAGGAGGAAGAGGAGGAAGAGGAGGAAGAGGAGGAAGAGGAGGAAGAGGAGGAAGAGGAGGAAGAGGAGCAAGAGGAGCAAGAGGAGCAAGAGGAAGAGGAAGTTAAAGCAAGGCGACGCTGAGATAAAATCTGGAGACCCTCACCTGAGAGGTGGGGAAAAAAACACATGGCCATGTAGGCAACCAAAACCCCCCGAAAAGTGGCATGCCCCCCGTTTTCTGCACGACTCATTCCCCCATTCACTGGCCCTCGGGTTCCGTGTGAGCCAAGCAGAACACCAAGGAATTGCAAGATGTCCTTTTGCCAGCTTTGGGTGTTTGGCTGGCTTTTTCCTTCTTTTTTTCCGGTGAGTGTAGTACAAATAATATCACCCCGGGTCCTCTTTGGGTGTGGCTCAAAGCATCGGAGCTAGGGTCAGGTTTTAGTCTGTGGTTCCATTTGCCAAGGTGGGGCTGTGGGGAATGACCACTTCTGTGATACAACAGAAAGGGCTTCCCAAAGACTATTTTCTTCAGATAAAGGGGGATTCCCTTGTATCACAGAAGTGGGGAGAAACTCCTTGATCCCACAACCCTGTTTTTTGAGCCACAGGCATTTCTGTCCCAGTGAAGCCTGCGCCGCCTGCGCCGCATGCAGCGCCTCGAAGTCCCAGCCCTGAGGAAAACCGAGTCGACCGACTCGCCGGAGATGGATTCAAAACACGCTTCGCGGTTTTTTTTTTTTTGATGGAGAACTCACCTGAAGATTTGCCCTGGGGTTCAATGCTTGCGGGCTTTTTAGATGGGACAACTCACGGAATATTGGATGACTTACGCCTTTTCCGCCCTCCGCCCTAACAAGACCCCCTTTTAGGGTTTTGGGGCGGGGGTATTCCCTTGCGGCAGGGGTCCTAAAACCACTTGCTGTGTAAGGGACTCCTCGAAATCAGCTGGTAGTTGGGAGTTGGCCAATGGGGAACTTTCCCCATGGGGTGCAAATCATTTTTTTCGTGGTTTCCCTGCTGGTCATCCCATGTAAAGGACCTTTTGATCTTTGATCAACACCCAGATAGACGGTCCGGGGCGCATTCGAAAGAAGGATTCAGTGCTTGTTTCTTGGGGTGGGGGGTGGGTTCTCGCGAACTACCGCCATGCCATGCCTCGGACGGGAAACTTGATCGAATCCCGGTCCCTCAATTTCGATCCATACCTTATGCAAGGCCTACAAACAAGTTGAATACCAGAGTAAAGTTGTGTACCTCTTGTTCACAACCCTTGGGTCCTTAGGCTCTTAAAGGTTTGGAGCAACTTTCAGTCAATCATGTAACTAAACTTTTTCATACTGGGCACCCTCGTTATGAAGCCCCTTGTCAATGGGCATATGTTTTACACACATATATTTAGCGCACCATTGTGGGAAGAGCTAGGCAAACATCAGCAAGCTGTTTGGGATTACCCAAAGGGTATGTACAGGGTAAGTACAAGTGATGCTACGCAGAGCCGAGCGTGCAATCCAATACGTCGAGCTCGAAGACGTGTTAGGCAGTTCGCCAACCCGGCACATTTGGATTCCATTCAAGGGTTCTACATCTCTTTTTGCCCTCCCTGAAACAACTGCACTGGACGTAGTCTTTAAGAGGGGCCTGTGCATTTCCATGTGCCATGCTTCTTGTTGGAGGATAGCTCAGTTGGTAGCTCCCCCCTTTCAGGGTACATTGGACATGGCTGGCAAAACTCGAAATGAACATAGCCGCTATGTGTTTTTGTTTGGGGTGTGGCCCGAATAAGCCCCCAAACATGACTCCCTCCCCACGGGTGGAGCATTCGTGCATTTCCGGACGCGAACCAACTCCCCCCGTGAAGTTGTGATTTGGCTCGCCAAATGGATTTGTCCCTGTCAGCTGGGTGCATCAACCAGTAATTGCCATAGGTCTGCGTGGTGAGACCTCTTGGTGCTATGACAGGATGTGGCCGACTGCTTCAATCGAAACGAGGCTGTCTTGCAGTTCTCTCATATTTCTTGATCACAGTTGGAGCAACCCAACAAGCTTTCATGGTATGTTTGCGGCCGTGATCTTCTTGGCCTTCTAACCTGCAAAGAAACCCAAATTCGTCGCTTGGCAAATCACAAGTTGCTCACCCCAAACTGATCTCGGTGGATCCCGCCGGCCTGTCCCCTCTCCCCCACGTGGTTGGAGCCGTAGCCAACCCCTTTGGCCCAACCTCTGTACCCACCTGGCGTCACGGCGTGCGCGCAAAAAAACAAAAACAAACAACTCCATGTCTGCGCCTTTGAAGGGGGTCCAAGAGGATGCTTGAAGAATACCGTCATTCTGGTTTAGTCACCCCCATACCCACATAAAAGGGAATTGCACCATCTACTTTCACCACGAAGTACTTGCTCATGGTTGTGAAACGCCAGCCTTCCTGGGCTACCAACAACTGCCATCCGCACGACTACGCTATCACGTCAAAAGGGCTTTGCTTGGTATCGCAGGATTTGTTTAATTAAAACAAACATAAAATAATTGGCCGAAGAGCTTTTTGGGCGCTCAGGCTTCCTTTAGGCTGGTGGCTTCTAGTGGTTTACTCTACTAGTAGCATCGGCTTTCAACCAAAAGGACACCTGATTAGGTTTACAGGTGTGTCTTTTTCAGGGCTTTTGCTTTTGGTTTGAATAACAGATGATTGCCACAGGGAAGTCCATCGTGTAGGGGGAAACACTTTTTCCCACCCCATACCTAGGCATGGATCACCCCCCTCCCCCAGCATCAACCACCCGAGGAAAAGAAACAAACAAAAAACGGAAACTCCTTTTGGGACAAGCACCCTGCCGTGTAGGGCTGGACCAACGCCCTGCTTCAGCATGCTGATTTTACAAGAACTGCTCTTACAAACTTCCGTTTGCAGTTTTCGCTCCCTGGAGAACAAAATCATATCTGCAATAGTGATAGGTTCCCTTCAAAACCAAAACATTGAAAACAACGCATCTTCTTGAACAAATGGCAGCAACCAAAAGACTTGCTACATTGTTACGGAGCCGGTCACCCCTCAGGTGATTCGGACTCCCCCCACTCAAAGGGACCCACAGCCCCAGCAACCCTCGGAGCCCTTCGGAACGCTAGGCCGAAGCCACGGATGGGCGCATGTCCGGGTCTAATATTGGACACCCCTCATATATATATATATATGGTAACAGTCCAAAAAATATAATATATATATGTATATATGTATGTGAAAACAAAATTTGTTTTAAATGCAAAAACCATGTCTTCCAAAACATGGCCGTCCTAACCTCAAGTACAAGAGACTCGAGCAGCGAGCTCATACATTCACCCCTGGTTGAGTTTGACCGGGGTTCATCATTTTTGGAGGGAACACCCCTGCATTATTACTGACGTCCTGAGTTGATGAGCTAAAAAGAGTAACTAAACTTCTTGCTGATACCACTAAGATGGCCCAAACCCAAAAAGTCACTCCAGTAACGGAGTGAGTTAATAGGACGGGTACTACTTGGATCCGCGGCAAGGTCGGGCGGGCCCAACAAAAACAAACAACGAAACCGTTTGGTTACCACTCAAACTTTAACCCCCGAAAAAAAAAAAAGGAAAAAACAAGAAGAACAAAAAAGAAGAAAAAAAAACAAAAAACAAAAAACAGACTCTTGGGAAGTCCAAAAAACAATCAACGATCACACCGCAAAATGCATGACAAAGCAACACCAATCCTCGTGAATGACCAAAAAAACAACGCACATACACATAATGCGAAAAAAGATCTGCGAGTGATGAAAATTCAGTCTGGAGGATATTGTGAATATTCACCAGCAGCCGAAAACTGGGTTCCTTAAGTGATGTAGGCCTAGTCTCATCCATTTGACTTCAACCCAGACCCACAGTGGCCAGAGGGAAAAAGGGCACTCGCTCTAGTGGCTGACGTTGAAGGGAAACTGTCTCGAAAGAAAGGAATAACTTCATCGCATTAAGTCCCCTGAAGGAACCAACCTATTTCCAGCAATGATCAACCGCTTTAAACCCAACAGGAGACTTTTAAAACATGCCTAAGCAAAGGGAAGGTCAAGGGTACCCGTGGATGTCTAGGCCTACCCGGTGATCGGTGATCCCGCCTTCATTCGCCGACATGGCTGCAGGGGTCTGCCCTGCGCACGGGTCTTCAGGAGCCAAGTCGAAATGCCAAAGGCTCCCCTCACGAAATTGAGGCAACACAAACAACCCCCGGGTGAAATGCAACAATTCATACTTGCTCACACGCCTGAAGTGCGTACCTAGCAAAGCACCCTTGGTGTGTTTGCAACAAGTTTTGCTCTTGGCAGCCCGCAACTAGAAATGAACAGACCCCTATAGGCAAGCAAAGCTAAGCAACATGCCACTGACTCCAGAAGGAAAGGCGCATAAGCACCCTGCCAAGAGAACGGCCCGAATGGCAAAGAGTGGTCATCGAGAAATGCCTCACGTCCTTCCCAAGCTAAGAGCCCCTCACATCATCTCAGGAAACCACCCAAAGGGAAACATAAGGGGAAACTACTTTGTGCGGAAATTTGGCATTGAGTAACACATTCTAGAATATTTCCAACATTGTAAATGCAAGGATCATCAGACCCCCAAGCCCGCAAGTGAGCCTGTCCTCTTGCACCTTAACCACTGCCGTGTCCAAAGTGATGTCCAGTCCAAGTGAAATTTGTGAGACGCGATGTGGCCCAGCCACCTTCCCTACATTTGGGGGGGAGGCTGTTCAGACTCGACCCGTGAGCCTAGCGGTCTCCCTCCCCCCCACCCAATCGTTTTTTACAATCACAGACCCCCTCACCTCTATGGATTGGCCCTCATTTTTTTTCAGAAACATGGGTTGCCCTTTTCGAAAATTGGGCAACCAAGTCAGCCCGGGCTCTCCAAATGGGATAGCCAACCAAAGCGGTTGCAACCCTTCGAGCCCCGAACCCGCCGGCCCCGGCTTTGGCCTGACGCGCTCGCAGGAACAAAAGGACCGCTCCTCGGGTTCCGGATTCCGGATTCCGAAGCTTCGGATGCGCTGTGCAACCCGCGGTCTGCAAACGCAAACAGCTCGCGTCTTCTGCACAGAAAAACACAGGGCTAAAAGGGGGCCCTGTAAAAAAACCTCAAGAGGTTCATCTACAAATTGCTTGTTCCTTTCATGGGTTTTCATCGATGGGTGTCCATTTCCTTTGAACCAAAGAGCAACCTGAGCAGTGTTCTAAACCCAGTTGCGGCCGAAGAGAGAAATCAACATTTAGAGCGTCGCTCGCCTGGATCACCGACGCAACGACTCCTTTTCGCTGCGATGCCCAAGTTTGGCTCTCGGAAGGCCCCGTTCTTTCATTTGCTCATGTTCAAAGGGTGTTGCTTCGTTGACCCGGTTTGGCTTCCCGATCTGGTGCCGAAATTTTCGGGGAGAAAAACCTCCTTTTTCCCAGTGGTGCTGAAAAAAAGATGAACGTTCTAGGAGCCTCAGGTACTGAAAGAACATGTTGGAGTTCCCCAAAATGAAATGCAGAACTCCATTGGAAGTGAGCCCAGCGCTTGCTCACCAAGACGCGCCCAGGGATCCTCCTGAGGCGAAGGCTTCGGCGATTCCACCCGTCTAAACCACCTTCACGTGATTGTTTCGAAGAGCCAACAGACGAGGGAGGAGGGCCTTGACAATGATTTCATGCTGAGGGTAAGAAGCCTGGGATAATCAAGGCTAGAAAAACTTTGGACCCCAAAACAAATCAGCGGATTCAATGTTTCGATCCAACCTAGCCCTCAAAAGAGTACCGGTACTGTCCCTCCAAAAAATACTCGCAAACACAAACAAAATAACTCTCTGGGCTGGGGCTTGTGCCTTTTTTGAGGGTACCGACACAACATTTGGGGGGGGGTCCTCTAGACAAAAGACGCACCCAAATCACCCGAATAGCCAAAGGGGACCTTGGCACGAATGAATGCACCCATGTTGAGAAGCAGTTCCAAGCTCCAAGTCCGGAACATGAACGTCAACTTCGGAATCCGCAGCACCACGCTCACGGGGTGACCCCCTTGTTAGTGAGCAGCTGGTCTGCTTCGCGGGATCGAATCATCTGACCCCCTTTTCATCCGGATTCGCCTTGCACTTAAGATTTTAACTCTACAACCGTTAGGTTTGTGTTACTCACTTGAAAGTAGAAACCCCTCCTTCGAGTTCCTAGGCAAATTAAACAAACCGTTTGGATTTGGGCAAGATGGAACCAGTTGCCCAGCGACCTTTGCGGGGTCGGTTTGGTTTTATTGTGCCCCGAACCCACCAAAACAAACAAGCAAACAAACAAGCAAACAACTTGGATCGATCCAGTTGCGATTGTTTTTTCCCATCCACTTTACCCCAAAAACCAGCCACAGTGACAAGGCAGCAACTTGGCTATCTAGGAAGTAAACAAACAAAGAGAACAGGGTTCAAAGGCCGGAATCCGCTGAAGCAAGTCAGTATAAGTCAGTCAACTCGAGCCCAGGCTGATCGATCCGCCGGCATTCAGCAAGAATGTCTCAGATGGCACCACTCCTTTAAAAAAAGTGGCCCCTCCCACCCTCCCACCCTCCCACCCTCCCACCCCCCCCACCCTCCCACCCCCCCACCCCCCCACCCTCCCCCCACCCCCCACCCCCCGCCCACCACCTCCCACCCGAGGCGACATCCAGTCCTCGTAGGCGTTCCCCGGAACGGCGGGCCGCAGGTTCTGCGGCGCCACCTCCCGCAGGCGGCCCAGCTGCACCAGAAGCCGCTCCAAAGGGCTGAAGGCACCCTGGCGGCCCCTTAGAGCCCTCCATTTCCGGTTTTGCCTTTCGGTCCCCTGGAAAAAATGGAGAAAAACATATTTCCAGCAGATTTCCCTTTCTGTCCCCTGGAAAGAATGGAAAAACAAAACTTCCAGCAGTGACATCGATTCCTTTTAAAATCGACAGGGGAAATAAACAGTCCCTTTAAAATCAACAGGGGGGGGGGGGGGAAAACCTATTCTTAACCACATCGAAGTCGCCCGCTCCGGCGGTCCGGACTCCAATTCTGCGAGAGGGCAACAGAGGACTAGAACAAGACTTGCCACGAGGAGCGGCCGGTAAACTCTCACGGGGCAACGTGTTTTTTTTGTTTTTTGTTGACTTTTTTAACAAACAAAAAATGAGGCCAGCTCCAAAGTCTGTAGGAGAGCAACAGATTACCCCCATTGGTGGTTTGGTGGTTTCGTGGTTTGGTGGTTTGGTAGTTTGGTGGTTTCCCGTGTACCCACCAATCCAAACCAAGTAGGGGTTACCTGAAAAGAGTACTACAAAGATATCTAAAAGGGGAACCACTGGAAAAATAACATGAAGCCACAGACACCGCATCCAATCCGGTTGCTGGAGTTTCAGTTGAGAAAGCAAACAATGCAGGAGCTCCTGTCAAGGGCATTTTCAGGTTTTGCGTTTGGAGGTATGGAGGCTTACCAACAATGCCCCTTATACAAGTGGTACATAACCACCATACCTCCGACAATACAAGCTTCTAAGGCCTTTTTTACGCCTTATATAAGCACATAGCTCCAAAACCCATACCTGAAAATGATCTTGATCCTGCCTCAGCCATAACCCACTATTGTCCTTTTGGTTCCCCTTTTTAGGGGCCATGATCGGTTGCCCAATCTTGCCGTCGGAATAGTCCGTGAACACAAACATGGGAAACGTCAAGACATGAACAGCACAACACGGAAACACTTTGACAGGCCCGGGACAAATCGGCAAGCATCCCGTAAAGGTATTGACAGCCTGAACCCTGCAAAACATCTCAAATGAGTTGTGTAGCATCAAAGTCCAGCACTGATTCATAGAACGTGGAGCCATCGGAAGGTCGATGCCTTAAGCTGGTCAACCCCTCGAAGTCACGTAGACTGGTGCTCACAAATGGCTGGTTGCAATGGCTCTTGCTATGGCTCTGAATCAGGTACAGCGAACAGAAAGCATTGACAGCGAGGAGGTCCACTCCATTCCAACATCCACACATTAATCTCCTGTACCAAGTTGGTGAACCTCCAGTTTCTCTTGATGTCGACGCCCGGATTCATGAACCTGTTGGATTTGTTTCGGAGAAAAATGCAACTGTGTGCAGTCTCAGGATTGTCGTGCGGTGGTTCATGGTCTTGGTCTTTCATGCGCAGTTGAGTGCAGCGTTGTACGAATGCGGGCATCGTGGACTCTTCGCAGCCTCTGCGTGCTCTTCGTTGTCTACATCCAGAGGAGGCTACACTTGACTATGCTTGTCTCTGCCATGCCAGTTCCTTTGAGCCCTTCCCTCAGACGTCGGCGCGAAGGGTGGTCAGGGAAGCGTTGCCAAGCAGGAGCACCTGGTTTGTGGAGAATTTGGAACAGCTCGCTTTGAACACGAATGGGCTCGGAGTGTTCCTGGAACTTGTAGGTGAGATGAAGTGCAGGTGCAAGTTTTCTTGGAGCAAGGCAGGGGCTGCTTTCTCCCCGTGGTGCTCATGAGACTGCAAGTGTGGTTACCTTAGTGCCGGGCTTCCTCTTCCTGTTCTTCTGGAAGGGCCTTGAACTTGGATAGGGGCGACGGGCCGTCAGTTTTTGCTTGAGCCAGTGGTTCGGGAGCATGGCCGAGATCATGCGCTATAGGGTTCAGTTTATGGACTCACTGCATGACCGGCATTCATGGCATCTCGCGTTCACGGCGAAACCTATGGGCTGGAACACACTGCCTGTGACGCTCTCGCGTTGCTTTTCTCCTACCGCGCGAAGCGGTTGGTACTGTGTTCCTGGACACGTCAGGAGAGCGCCAAGCGCTCGTGGTTCACCTTGCGGCGCCCCAACCACGCAATGCGGTTGGTGCTCTGTTCTGGGCCCCCCATGTGGCGCCGATGCGCTTGCTTTACATATCTCCGGCTGCCTTGCGGCGCCCCAACCACGCAATGTGGGTTCGAGTGCCAACGCGCACCTCGGGCATCACTGCCCCTTGTGCAAGCTATAGACCAGTGTGGAGGGCGCGTCTCGCCAAGAGGCCGATCGCGTGCGACATGTCGGGAAATCCCGGAAAAGTTGTGCAAGGGACCCGACAAAGGGGAAACCGCTTGGTTGGCTCTACCAACAAGGCTTCAGGTAGGCCTCACCAAAACTTCCGTTTACGTTTTCGCTACCCTGGACAAATATACTTCGTGGGAAGCTTTGCTGCGTCGTCTGGGGGCGGGAGGGGGTTGCCTTTTTGGGGCTGCCCCTTTTGGGGCTGGTTTACAGGGAAGCCCGGGCATGTTCGTGTTTTGCCTTCCTGTTTTGAGAGCCCATTTGCCTTTGGACTCCCCCCTGCAGGCTGAACCCGCGCCTCCGGGAAGTTTTGGACGTTGTTCCTCGGGCTGCCAAGGTCCACTCCTTAGTCTTGGTTGACGTTGGCAGGGGAGCAAAAACGCTAAAGTTTTAGCAGTTCAGTGGGGATTTCGCACTTAATTTACAACCACTAAACCACAATGAGCAAAAATGCAAAATGTTTAACAACAACCCCCGCGATCCTGAAAACGGGATATTCGGCACCCATAGAGACATGCCAAGGAGCAAGTGGCCCTACTGCTGGTGCAAGATATATCTGTCCAAGCGCGTTTTTAGTTTCTAGGGCCTTGCACATACCCAAAGGGGCAACTGACGTAGGGGCAACTAGACCCCAAAGAACCAACTCACCCCGAGAGGCTTGGTGTTTAGATCTTCGCCCTTGCTGGGCCCGGAACAAGGCTTCAGCGGCCTACGGATTGATGTCAACTGCGCGGAAACCCCATGCCCAAGTCATGTTTTTCCCCAACAGCTGAAAGCTTTGGGGTCTCAGCCCAGATAGGCTCTGGGGTGGTCCGGGGCGGCCCTGAGGTAAGGTTCCACGAGGGTTCCACCAGGGTTCCACCGCATGCTGTTGGGGATATCACCTGAGCTGATTTTCGCCTTGGCTCCAAAAGGAATCTGGACTTTTCAGAAGGGGAATCTGGGGGAGTCTGTCAAAATCGGGCACTTCAAACATGTGGTCCTTGCAGCTTCCCTTTACCTCCCCCCCAAAAAAAATAAGCCCTCAGGGGGTAGGCTCTCTCTAAAAGGAACATAATCCCGTGGTGATCTTTCAGGTCTATTCATCCACACCCCTAGTGGGAAATCAAGGGGCCCTCCCCATTGCACTGGAAAAATCGTGGCGAGTTTGCACCCCGTTTGCTGCAAATCTCCACACACCTTGCCATTCGGCATGGGGATTGATTGGCTTTGGTTCATCCAAGCCCCTGGCTCACGATTGAACACTCTAAGAGGTGCTTCCTTCTCTGGATATTCTTTCACACTTTCCTCAGCCCAGTGGCCGTGGGGAAAAACGGGCCCCTTCTGCTGGCTGAATCGTGTCAAGGGCTTATGCCCAGCCTGCCCCGAAACAAAACAAAATACAGACACAATAAAACTGGTGGAACCGACTGGCTACTAGCTTCTTACCAGCACCGCCCAACAACTGCTTTTCCCCATGTCCAAAACCCTAAGAAAGCTGTCCAAAAGGGCCCCCCCACTTGCATCACACTCAAGTCCTCGTATCAAAATGGTCTACCCGAATCAAGAGCGATCCCTCTACCCAGGTTTTTGATTGTGGCCCTTGGTTGCGCATGAATGTTTTTCGAAGGGTGCCCCTTTTTCACCTTGGAGAGGACAACAAAAAAAGAACGCCACCACCCGCCTTTAAAGGTTCGGTAGTAACTGTTGGATTGTGAGGCCGTGGGTCTTTAGACATGGGTCTTTAGACATGCCACTCCCCGACTCCCTCGGCGCAATTGATACGCCAAGGTGCGGGCGATGCGATCGAGGAAGGCGCGCACCGAGAGCAACAAGTCACTGGAGAGCCTCGCTTTGCTCGCGACGACCCAAGGGCCCGCCTGCCTTCTGAAGAGAATCCCAAGTATGGCCAGGTCCTCCAGTAGAGAGGTTGGAATAAGGGTACTCTTTCTTCTGTAGTCTATTTAGTAGGAGAACCCTCCCCCAAAAAGGGTAAAAGGGCACTACTGGTGGACCTAGATGGTTTCGCTGCAAAACCATCCCCAAAAAGGGGTACCAAAACAAGATGCACCCTCTGCTGATTTGGATTGGTTTGGAGGTGGTTGCTGGCCAGAAAAAGTCTGAACTTTTTATCTACCACCAACATGATCTTCCCAAAAAACATATAGTTTTAACTAAACCAAGCTAACAAGAACATCTAATGTCTAATGCTGACCTCATATTAATCAACCAACCAGTTTATTAATAGGGGGGGTGCTTCTTCCTGGGTTTACTGGGGAATCGGCCAAAAACCAACCCCATATTCATATGGTTGGTTGAAATTCATATCGGGTCAACATTATGGAGCGAGTCTTTCACAGTCTTTCAGCTTCCCCAAAAACAGGGCTCCCTATTTTTGTCCCTTGAAACATCACCCCCCGCCAAGGGACACCCACCTTCCCACCTTTCATGGTTGCCAAAAAGGTGATGTTTAAAACCACCAAAAAGGGACATAGAGGGAAACATAGTTTTTCATGGTCTGTCGGCTTTCTTGGAGGGGCCAAAAACCACCCCCCAAATGGCTGTGGGTCAAAAATAGGTCCCCAAAATGGAACCCTGGCAAGTGGAAGCATGGGCTAAAACCGCATTGCGGTCCAATTCCTGGTTCAAATTGACCCACAGCCATATTAATCATCTGGGGGTCAACATATGATGGCTCACTTCCCAAGTTGACTGGCCAAAAAAAGCTGGTTTTTTCATTTTTTTATTTACCACTAAAATGGTCCTTCCAAAAAGTTTAAAGTCCACCAACTCAGGAAGTGAGATGGAGCGAGCCTTTCGGCTCCAAATCTCCGTCCGAGCCGCAGAAAAGGGCTCCAGCCTTTCAGCTGCAGCCGGGGGTGGCACACCAGCGCCGCCTGGACGTCGTAGCCTCGCTGCGGTCAGAAAGCCGCGCCGAGCAAGGCACAACCGGCGAGTTCTCAAGGGAATTTGAAAAGAGGACCCAGTTATTTTGGGCGTGACTTCCCTTGAAACCAAGTTTCAAACTTGGCTAGACACCCCAAACATTTGTCTTGCCGGTTCTCATCAGAAGGCTTGGAGAGGAGCATATTACCTTGACAGAACCTCTCTCTCTCTCTCTTAGTGATCCTGGAGACCCCGAAACAGGCACAGGATCCTGAACCAGGAAAACAAATTGCTACAATGAGGGGGGTTTCACATTAGTTGCTACAACCTGAAACCAGTGGGATCCAACGATGTTCCTCCGCTGCGGACGCTGCACGCCGCTGCCAACTTGCAACAAAGAGGGAAGTAAAAGCTGGTCGTTCCCTACTAAAAACACACCCTTTTAACTTGGTTGTCGGCAGGACCTTTTTGTGTGGATCCAATGGCCAATCCACAGTTTCAACCAACAAGTTGAAGTCCGAAGATCCAACCCAATAGCCATAACGTTAAAGAGAAAACTTCGCGCAGAACTGCTCCGAAGAGGACGTTCAATCGGACGCGCTAAAACAACAACTCTAAGACAAGTCAACGAATAAACTCACTTCCTGAGTGGATGGGCAACACAAAAAAAATCGGTCTGCCCTTTGCACTTACCACTAAAATGGTCCAAACCCAACCAGTTTCAAGCCCAGGAACTCAGGGAGCGAGAAAACGAGAGTGTTTGCCACACCCACTCCATACTCCTGGCAAAGCCACTGAGGAACCAAATCCTTGAGAAAAAACATCTTGCGCATTCAGCCCCTCCCGTTCCAGAAGCTCATCTGAGGCACTCCCACAAAGTCTGGGTCGCACCAGCGTAATGCTGGGAGGGTAGAAGGGGTGCAAGTCCTCCTGAGCTCCAGGCACGCCCGGGCTTCCATCCCCGCCCAGCTAACACGGAACCTGGTTGGGGGGCTGGAGAAAGAAGCATCCTCACAAAAGGGGCCATCCACTAAACCCCAACTTGCCCCCTTGCAATGGTTTGCGACTTGGGTTACCGGGCTAAGCAGTCCATCTGAGCGGGATGCAGGATGCCACATTTCGAGACCTGCTGGTCGGGTCCCACAGTTTTTGCCAGTTCGATCAGGTTTTCTCACATGACTTCTGGGGGGTGATCAGGGGAATGTTTTCGGCTGCCACTTCAATGTACCCAGTTGCCGCCGGGCTGCATGAAACCGCCACGTCCAATGGAAATCGAGGGACGTTGAGGGACGCTGGCTGTTAACAAAACGGCGCAGTAGTCCATAAGAGGGGACCCCCTGAAATGGTGGTGTTCCTTTTTAACTTCCCTTTACACCCAGTTGGGGTGAAGGCCTGGTCGTTTTTGCAATTTGTAACATGCACACGCCCTTAGACCAGCTGATTTCAGAGGCAAACCCACCAAAAAAGAAGCTGACTCATTGCATATTTTCTAGGTCCTCCAATAGAGAGGTTAGAATAAGGATACCCCTTTTTTTCTGTAGTCTCCCGAAAAAGGGTAAAAGTGCACTACTGGGGGACCCAGACATTATCGTCTTATGTTCATGACATAGCTTGGTTTTTTGGACAAAATTACCCCACAACCCGGTTCCAACAAGAAAAAGGCACTGGCACAACGTCGCGGAGCTCGAAGCCCAAAAACAAGGCCCCAGCCCTCTTGCCTAGGCCCCCCTTTCGGGTTTCGGGCAGGCCGAAGTCTAGCGCCGAGAGTCTGCTTTCAGCGCCATTGATCGCGGCCAAGGACAAACTCAGACTGTTGACCCTGGATCTACGTACCCTTTTTGGGTTTGGCAAGGGAGACAAAGGGAGAGATTTGTGGCGGAATTTCCGGAAGTGTCCGGAAGATGTCGCCAGCCCGTCCTATTAACAGGGGGTGTGCCCTCCACAAGTGATGTGAATCCTCACTGAAGCGGGGACACGCCCGTATTGCTAAAAAGGGGTTCATGAATCTGGGGTCTCTATTGCACTAAACATCAAAACCCCACCTTCCTTGGGTAGATCCCACCAGCTTTGCCTCCCATAAATCAGCTGAAGGTGACTTCTGAGCTGGCGACATCTATCCTTTTTTGGGCTCTCCAAACTTATCCCCTGCTAACAGTGTTTAACTTTTCGTGGGCAAAACGCGGAAACCCAACCACTAAACCAATTAAAAACCACTAAAACCTAAGGAATCGGACAGCTGGGAACCGTTGAGGCATCCAGGGCTTGATGTGACGCATCCGGTGAACTCAAGTCACGCTCCTTGAAAACCACGCGCAGCTCCACGTAGTCATAGCCTCACGCAGGAACCACTGGCCCCGATGATTTGGGAGTCAACTACATATCTATACATACACGTGCATGTAAATAGATATGATTGTGTGATTTGCTTGTTTGTGAGGGTTCCATTGTAATTAAAGCCAGAAGGAGCATCACCATTTTACTTTTTGCATTCCATTTTATATTGTTTTTTTGGGGGGGGGTATAAAATATATTGGCCCCTGTGTTACACTCTTCCGGTCTTCAACTGCAGATGTGTACTTTTGGAAATTCTCTTCAAGCACGCCACCAAGCCTAACAAATCGTCCACGGCCATGGCTCCCACTGGCCGATATAACCGTCACAGCTGGGAGGTCCATCATCCCGGAAATTTGACTTAGTGGGAGCCCCGGATTAATAAATCCCGGCTTATGAGGGGGGTTGTGTCCCTAGTGCTGGAGGGACCCCCATCCTATTAATCAGATGTACTCGACAAAGTTCACATGGAACCCAGAAACACATATTTCTATAGGGAGTCTTCTATTGGAACTGGGGCTGCACGTTGATCTGCCGTAGGGTCAACTTCACTAATGCTGACTTGCAGGGGCTCCCCTACATTTGGGTCAATCACAACCATTCACCAAGCCAAGAAGTCGAGCAGAAACTTGCCCGTGGTTCGGCCATGGTGGGGAGGCTTCAAGCAACCCTTCCTGTGGAGTTTTTGGGTTGGAAGCGTGGGTAGGTCTCAAGGTAGGCAAGACTCCCGGGGGGGGGGAAGGCGGCTCCTTCCCTGTGCCCTGCCTCGAAGCAACCTGACAATCCCAAAATCGGGGTTCCCCAACCCCTGCTGGGACGGCTTCCACGTCAACGCTCAACCCAAGAATTCTCTAGGATTGGTTCAAAATAAACTGCCGACTCCTGACCAACAAGCCCCCTCAACTTGCAACGGGTTTCTGATCGGAAGCGTGTCTTGGAGGGGAGCAGGTGCCCCGATTGACAACTGCGGGGTGGATCAAAATCAGCAGCCTGGCAGAAACAATGTTTCCAATGTACCAACTCAAAAACGTTGCCATACATCAACCAACATGCTACCCAGAATGTGCTGAAGTTCAAGCAGCAGGGTTGACTTGCTTCACCCCTTTGTGGCAAACCGTGTGTAAACAACCATACCCTGGTCCTGCCTAATTAAATGGCACAAGCCCCTCGCAAGTGGCTGAGGGAGACTAGACTCTAGACGGGATAGGACATCTAGGTCAAAGTGGGGGTTCCACGTATACCGGGCCCGAACAACAACAAATAGTTTGTTTCTTTTTTACTTAACCAAACCTTGTCTTATTTGTTTTGGATTTTGTCCTAAGAGACAAAACAAAACAGATTTACAAAAACACTGCGACAGCAACACTTGGTTGACGTTGGAAGGGGAGCAAATGCCGCCTTCGGCTGCGCGGAGCTCCGCGAGGCCCGGCGCCAGCTTGGAGAAGCCCCGCAGCTTCACGGCCTCGGCTTCTGGGAATGGGAGCCACGGGGGGCCTCCATGTTCGCGCGCCCGGGCCGAAACAAATATGTTCACAAAACATATATTTATACATGCTACCCCCCCCCCTGGACTCCCCCCAGGACCCACGCACTTGCTATAAAGATATACATATATATACTCACACCCCACCCATGATCCACTTTCCTCCTTTGCACATCTTCCATTTTTGCAAGTCCACTCAAACGCTTCCACAGCTTTGCACTTTTGCTCATTTGCCATCTTCCACCTTTATCAAATCTGCTCCACTACTGTCCATTACCTTTCCATGCGCTTGCCAAACTGCAGCTAACTTTGAATAAAATCCTGTTTGGAAAGGCGTCCACATTCCATTTTCATACAAATTATCTTTGATTAAAGGCCGATTTGGGAAGTACTTCCTACTCAGCTAGAATAGACATTGAGTTCTATTACAATTCTAACTAGATGTTGATTTTCATCCTATTTGCTTGATACAGCAAATATATTCGAACTATTCCCGTACTACGTTCTATTGCGCTTTACTTAGTTTCCCACTGAAGTTCACTGAAGATAGAAGTCTAATGGAACTCTGGCCCTATTGAATTCTTTGCACGTTCTGCTAGTTAATGTTAGTTTCACATCACATATGGAAAGTACTTCCCCTTTCCATTCTCATTCAACATAGAAATCCTACTAGACTTTCTTCCTTTAAACACTGATTAAACCTCAATTGGAGCATAAGGAGCCTTATGAGTTCATTTTACAGAGCTTTAAACAGGAGCTGCACATGGAGCCTTGGATGCAGCTTTGCAATGACCCTTATGAAGAGCTGTATCATGAGCCTGAAAAAGCAGCTGTACAAGCATTTGTGCAATAAAATTGTGCAAGCAGCCTTTAAGGAGCCTTCAACAGAAAAGGAGCTTTGCGAGCAGCTTTATACTGCGATCCTTCTATGTAGCCATGACTTAGAAGAGCTTTACAGGAGCCTTATGAGTTTTATACGGAGCCTTGTACAAAGAGCCTTGTAGCAAGTGTGAAAAGGAGCTGGACCAGCAGCCCCCATTCAGGAGCCTTCAGAAGAGCTGCATCAGGAGATTGAAAAAGGGTGAATTCCAACTTAACATTGCACATCTAGTTCACTGGTCACACCCGTTCAAGAAGGCTCAATCATGGCAGTACCAAACCAGCCCCAATTATGGATATGCCAAGAAACACAACTCGAGAAAACAACAAAACACTACCCAGAGGAGAAATGGGGTTGGTCTTGGTGGTTTTTGCCCGTGTTCTGTTGTTTGGTTCTCCCTGAGTTTTGTTGGGTTGTTCAGATCTATCCCCGCAACCAGAAAAACCAAAAACCAGGGGCCTCATGAAGAAGGGCCCCAACCAGAAAAATCAGAAAAAACAACACCAGGGGCCTCATGAAGAAGGGCCCCAACCAGAAAAACCAGAAAAATCAGAAAAAAACCAACACCAGGGGCCTCATGAAGAAGGGCCCCAACCAGAAAAACCAGAAAACCCAGAAAAATCAGAAAAAAACCCAACACCAGGGGCCTCATCAAAAAGGGCCCAAAACCAGAAAAACCAGAAAACAACAAAAAAACAGGGTCTGGGAGATAGATGGAGGAGGTCACCCTTCTTCTGGAGGACCCTGGTTTTTTGGTGTTTCTGGTTTTTCTGGTTGGGTGCCGTTCCACCAGAAGATCTTGGTTTCCTTCACTTCCATAGGACCTTGGTCTCAGAAGACCATGTTTTTTCTTTGGTTTGTCAGCCTTCCCCCCTGTTTGCTTGGGGAGGGTCCGGGGGGGGACATAGACATGTATATATATATATATTTATCATTTCCAGATCTACGATAAGACAAAAAAACCTGAAACATGCATACAGACATAAATATAGTTTTCCAGAGTCCCTTTAATTTAGACCAAATTGGGCCCCTTAAACATGCATACAAATACATGCATACACATATATACATATATATATATATATTATGTATATTATGTATACACATTTGTTCCCCAGATTCCCTTTAAGACCAAACAAGGCCAATCACAAATATACTTCAGCAGATGGAGGTGGAGGTTGGGGCCCACGTTGCCCCCTGTCCTGGGCTGTTCCCCTTCGATCCCACGCTGAAAGTGGGAAAAACCTTTTGTTTTTTAACAAAAACGGCCACTCAACCCATTTACATTGCTAACAACACCTAAGGAACGGGCTGGCTTGGAACCAGCGCTCTTTGCTTTAGAGGCTTCAATGGGCCAGATTGGGCGTTGCTTCAAAGGAAAGAGGGAGTCACAATCCAACCATTTACTTGCTGGTGCTCAGCAGAGGGAATGAGGGAATGACCCTTATGAATCATGTTTCCTGGAAGGGGACTCCTGGGATCATTCCCTCATTCCCTACTGAGCAACAGCAAGATTCAACGGGTACCAACAACTTGTGTAAGTTTATGCCCGGTGGCCTGACTTTGATAACCAGATTGAGTCACAACAATGACCCAGTTACCCTATCAACAAAAAGAAAACAACTGTGTCACCTATGGTTTAGACATGGTTATATATCCTCAAGGACTCCCTGCAGGCGAACATGGAACCCAACGAAGAAAAAGGTGTGTATAGGGGGAAGTCCTTTTTGTGAGACCCCTTTGTTCCATGTTAGCTTGGAGGTAGTAGCGATATTGGCAATAATCGCAGCAGCAATGATGTTGCAATCCTGATGAGAATGTCACGAATCAAAGGAACATTGCAACAAGGCAAGACTTTGCGGTGTGTTCTGCCTGCAAACTCAACAAGTGGTAGAATCAGCAGCAAACTCGCCAAACAGCACCAATTGCAGGGAAATGTTCCACCGGCTTGTAGGAAACTGACACTGCGTGGGTGGCTCATTCTTGCGGAAGCCCGAGCCAGATAGGCGGGTACCAAAAAACACGCCTGTTCGCCATGTTTCTCGATTGCCAAAAGTTAAACTAGTGGGAGATGTCAAAGCCTAAGGGCAACCCAAGCACCTGTTTGCAAGTGAACATCCAAACATCTTCCTGGGTGGATTGGCACAAAAAAGACAGTGTTTTTCTTCTTCTGTTTGTTGCCTTGAAAAAGGCGGCATGCCCAGTGGATTCCCTGCAAATCGACAAGGGGAAACGACTTTGTGGAGACAGAACGCGGCTCAGTCAAAACCGAAGTGGCAAGCCCGCGGCTTCGATTTGGGGGATTTTGACTCAACGACAAAAATCCCTCGCCTGCCAACCACATGTTCGGCTTCCAAGAGTTCGTCTGTTGCGTGTTTGATACCTGGAAATCCCAAGGTGTGTTTTTTGAACGAGAACTGCTGGCGTTTTTTGGGGAAACTGACTTTTGCAAGGTCAAGCTGGTCGACTGAATTTTACCAACGGCGTTTTTCGCCAATCAAACAGCGTTTTTTGGCAATCAAACGGCGTTTTTGGCCGTGTGCAGCAGTCCTTGAATATTCACGAATTCAACGTTTTTTGGGGACAAACAACTTTCTGCAGCAAAAAATACTGCAATTTCAATCAGCGGCAGAAATTCAGCACCGCCGGGCTTTCCAGGTATGGTTTTGATTTTTTTGCGCTTATCCAAAAGTCTGGCTGGGTTTTAGACGCTTGGGTGTTTGAATTTGGTGGGGGCTAAGGCCCCGGCCCAGTGATAGACGCTGAAATCCACCGCGTCCGCTTGGATGTCCCCGTTCCTGAGCAGCGCTGTGTTTTCGTCGCCAACAACAACGCATAAGCCTCGACAGCCGTAAGCCGTGGATTTTTAGGCATTTTGGGGAAGTCAATAGGAATTAGGAGGCTTGTGTAGGTTGAGAGTCCCCTACTTGCGGGCGCAAGTGAATATTCACGCATCGGGTTGCATAATGAATGGGGGCAAGGGCGGGGGATGGTTCTGGCGAAGCATCCTTTGGATGCGCCAAAGCGGGCTAGCCCTGCTGGGAACTCGTTTTGGCAAAGGCTCGTTTCCCAAGCCATGTCCAACTGTTCGCATGGAGCCCTTCTCCACTTCAGGCCTCCAAGTCTTGAAGATTTGCTGCTGGCAAGATCAACCCCACCTTCTAACTCACTTGTGTTCAAACAACTGGTTCACACAAGCCGCGCAGGCAATCCGTTCTGCCAAGCCGCCCTTGTGTCTGCAGGCTGTAGAGCTCATTGGACAAAATGCCAAAGGCCTCACAAAACAATGCTTCTCCTGCTCCTAGGTTTGTCGGATGCACCTAAAAAATCACTTGGTTCATCTTGGTTCATGTTGAAACCATCGCAGGATCTTAGACAGCGTCTCTTGAAGGATGCACCAAATTCACGTGATACATGTAGATGATGTAGAAACATCTGAACCCAGCTTGTCTTTGGGTGGCTTTTGGGACCCTTTGGGACCCCAATGTGTGACCCAGGACCCGGTTAGATGTGCTTGTAGCACTGGTGCTTCCATGCAGGACTGATTGCCGACAACCCTTGGCGAGCAATCAGAAGTTTGGGCGTGGAAAAGCGAAGAGTCCCAAAAACTCTCCCCAGTTTCTTGGATTTGCAACAGGTGCATTTGATACACCTCTGATAGAGATTTCAAGCAATTGACTAGGACAATGGTGAGCATGTTCGAACTGATTGTCACGCACCGTACCTGACACAACAAAAAATACATATTATTTTTGTCTCGCTCTCTCTCTCTCTCTCTCTGTTTGTTTCCGCTTGAGGCCAACTGTGGAAAGCCACCTTTGTGACACCAACATGGATCATTCTTATGTGACAGCCTACACCTATGTTGCAACACCCATGATCCCGAAAAAAACCATTCACCCCCCCCCCAACCTCAATGCTCTCAACGAATCTGGAAAAGTTAGCTTGTTTTGGTTGAAAATCGAATAGCAAAAAAAACATCAAAGAAACGTGCAACAGTTCAAAAGTTCAAACGGGCCTGATAAGTCAGGCAATGGTAAGTGGCTACCTAAAGCCAGGCTGGACAAAACTCCTACACCAGTTGGCATCCCATTGCTTAAAACCAGGGCTGTTGGAAATGGAACCACTTCTGTGATACAACAAGGTCTTCCCAAAGACTCAAAAGTATCACAGTGGTTGGATCAACACCACAACCCTGTTTGAAACGTTTTTTTGTTTTTCAATTTACTTTATGTTTTATTTGTTTTAAACAAAAAGTGTGTTTTATTTCTTCGATCCCAAGCGGTGCTTCAAGCGAACATTTCGCCCGCCTCGCTGGAGTTGAAGATCTGCTTCTCTGCCGCCTTCTGCTCCTCGTTGGTGAGGTCCGCACCTGCAGTTTGTCAACCGGGGAGAGCTGAGCTGGCCATGGGTCAAAAGACAAATCGTACCCCCAGTGAACATTCCAACCCCCACTAAAATACAGCCTAAAATGGGTGGTGCACCTACCAAGCAAAATGCTACCATTGGTTTTGACCCACAGCCAGCTGAGCTTTTGGCCGGAGGTGTTCAATCCTGCCATCTGCGCCTTCTTCCCCAAAAGGAACATATGTCCAGTAGTGAAGTTGATTCCGCATAAACCCGACAGGTTTGAATAAGAAAGTCGTCAAATCGAAGAAACTGTTTGGGCCTCAGCGCCCCAACAGTTTTTGTTCCCATGTCCAGCATCTGGCTGTGGCTCAAATAACTGTACCAAAATGGCACCTTGGCAAATTGGCAAATGGAACCAAAGACTAAAACCCGCGTAAGCCTAGCTCCTGAAATTTGAGCCACATGCCATCTTGAGGTGCCCGAAGAGCCGTGGTGGATGGGTGACACGCCACTGGCAGCACGAGCCTCGCCTCTGCGCCGCTTCTCGCGGGAGGCCAGGCGCTGATCTTCCACCTCCTACGTCCGGAGGTTGGGTTTTTGTACTTTCCCACATCTAGGTCGTCCAGTAGAGGGGTCAGGATAAGGGGAAATAGTAGGGGAACCCTCCCCCAGAAAAGGGTAAAAGGGCACTACATGGCTGTGGCTCAAAAAAGCGGAATTCCAAAATGGGTTGCCCGATCGGTAAGTGGAAACATGGACCAACACCTGCGTGCTGCGATTTGCCCTCCGGTTTAATTTGGAGCCACACCCAGATGAACTGCCGTGTTTCTTTTTTCCCATTCTGGAGTGGCGCCCTTTCGTTGGTCGCTGACGTTGGAGGTGGGGTTTGTTGGTTCTACATGAACCGCCGTGTTTTTGTTCCCATTCTGGGGGTACCCGGTTTTGGGAACCTTCGAGGGAAAAAAGGAAGCGGCGCCCTTTTGTGGGTCCCAAAACAAAAAATCAAGTAGGAACCAAGGGCAGCGCTGGGAGTGTGGGCTGTCATTCCAAGTGGACGCCTTCACACACTGGGTAATCCAAACGAGTACGTCTTGTTTAGATATGGGAAGCCAGTGAGGTAACCACCTTTGAAACTACAGGAACTTGGCAGGTTACCTGCTATGGTGGCGGAACGCCTGGGATCCACAACCTTCCTGGTTGAAAGGGGGCATGAAGACAAACAAACGCGCAACACAACAACAACGAAAGGCAAGCCAAGTCGGCAAAACACGAAGAAAGGGAGGGGTAGGGAGAGGGCGTTGGATCCTATGTGCATAGACAGATTCAGACCCTACGGGCCCGAGGTTTGAGGGTCTGACATGGTTTCATCATGAGATCCACCCCTCCCCCCGCCAAACCCCCCTCCACCGGCCTCCAAGCCAACTATGGCCCAGCACTACTTGGAGGATGCCAAGGGGAGGGTTGGACTTGCAAGCTGCAAATTGTACAACGATTCCAAGACCTGACAAAAAGGCATCAAGTAAAGGACCGGCATTGTGAGCCGGTGTCCTTTGATGTTTGAAGCCCACTGGAAACAAAAAACGAGGGTCAGGCCCGCCGGTTGAAAATGCTTAAACAATATATTGCGTTAACACTGTCCTTCAGGCTTTCCTTTTAAAGGAAACCAGGGTATGGATGTTTCAACGGATGGGTGGCTTTTTTTTTTTTTCCTTTTTTTTTTTTTTTTCTGGCGGTACCCCTTAAACATGTTTCTGCGTGCGTGCTTCAATTGGAAAAAGCAACAACAAAAAAGCCATTTTGGGGGGGGTCCGATTCCTAAGAAAACCCCCAAACCCCAAACCCCAAACCCCGCCTTCACCAAAATCAACTCAACTCCCGCCGCCTGCCACTTGAGCTTCTTCCACCCCGGGCGAAGGCACCGCTCGAAGGTTTGCTCCACTGCCACCACGCCGCCTCCTCCCATTCTTCCACTTGTCAAAAGACATGTGCCGAACTCCCCCCCCCCCCACCCCAGACCGCAAAAAGTGGCAAAAACCGTTGGATGGCTTAGTGAGAAAGCACTTTCACTTTTTGGATGGGATAGAGAGATGCCACGTTTTAAAGATTCCACTATCACCACGAGGTTGCAGGCCAAAGATCTAACCAAGTAGCACCCCGAGCGCTGCCTTTTGGCAAGGCTGGATTTCGGATCCGAGAAACACACCATGCGCCTTCGTCCTCACCCTCAAAGGCGACGGTCTCCTCGGCGCCGTCCTGACCGGAACAAACTCCCGACCCTTGCAGTGGCACCGTGTCAACGTCAGAAAATCGGGGTTGTTTCTTTTTGACCCACTACTGAGGGGCGAACTTGGATCATGGCTAAGGTATGATGCCAGTTTTCCGGCAATCATCGAAGTGGGGAGGGGAGCGTTCCAAGGACTCTAGTCTTCCCAAGCCCTGTCAACTTCCATGTTTTTTTTCAGGGAGGGTAGGAAAAATCGGTGTCAACCATCATGGGTTCCCAACCAACCCAACGGGTGTTCCCCCAAAAAGGACACACGGGGTGTAGGTCATTCCATTTGGGGCTTGTTTTTTCTGCAAGGAAAACGATTCCCCAAAGAACGGGAAAAAGCGCCACTGGACAAGGGAAGGGAATGCAGGGAAGCTCTGATTTTTCGTCGGGTGTCCCATTTGAAAAAGGGTTCTGGATTACTTTGTGGGGGAGGGCGGTGGGGATACAACCCTTTATCTTGCTGGTTCCCGCATGTTTCCCAAACGCCTAGCATCGCCTTCTGGCATGTCTGGTGAGCGTGGCTGGCTATAAACCAAGTTATATTCTTGAGTTGTTGTGTTGCGTAGTCTCCGAGGGCCATGCTTGTCCAAGGCAAGTCATGATATTGAAGCAATGCTAGAAATTAACTCTTTGGACCTGTATATCTTGGCTCTCAGAACCCTGGAAATCCCAAGGCGCCACCAGGCGGTGACTGTAAATGCAAAGCCTGAACAATGAAAGAACGAAAAGCACCACTGGAAGTGGAGGAATCCATGCCTCACCCCTCCTGCATGTCCACGTCCGGCTGCCAGCTCACCTGGGGGCTGGGGGGGGGGGGAGACAAGCAAAAGCCAAAGCGATTTTGGACGAGACTTTTTACAACGGAACTGCAAACTGGCCCGTAGACGCTGGGACCAACATGTTCTAAGGTGTGCTGTGGATGTTGCTGACAGCCAACAACGCTTCCAATCGAGAAGTGGAAATCATGCCGATTGCCTCTGTTGCTGTGCCATTGGCGGGTCATGGGCGCTAATGAGGACATGCGGTGGCAAACGATGGGGAGTAGGTCGCAAACGAATAAGACGTGTATCAAACATAAAGAAGAGGGATTACCTCACTTGCCCTTGTTAAAAAAACACATCGCTGTCCTGGACCCATCTGCAAATTCAGCTCAAAAGCAAAACCTACAATCGGGGACCCGCGAGTAAAGGACCCACATTCTTGGTGTGCGCTCGCTTTACCCCCAGATTTGTGGTCTGCCGAAACCCACGGACCTTTCTAGTCTGCCCAGAGCTTTTTACATATACATATGATGTATGTGTATACATACACACACACATATATATATACAGATGCAGATATATATATATATGTATGTATATATATATATATATATGTATATGTATATATATATGTATATATGTGCATATATATATATATATATACATACCTACCAAAACAAGGATTAGTCCCCGGAAATGGCAGCACAAACATTCACTCTGCCGGGCCCATCCAACCCACCGCTGGGCCGCTGGTGGTTTTCCTATTGCCTTCCCCGTGAGAATACACAGAAGTGAGCACCACAACAACCGGTTCAGAAAGGCACACACCCCTCCCCCCCAAAAAATCATTCGAAAACACACACACACACACACACACACCAAAAACTGACAATCCCCCTCCCCGCATCCCTTAAGACTCCAAACAAAAGCAACAAGCTTTAACAAACAACATCCCGCCCCGTCCTCCAGCGCTTGGAGGGTGATCTGCAGCACCTCACTCACCAAAAGCCGCGCTGCGTCCTCCAGCCGCGCGTTGATCGCCTAATTCGGCGTCGATGCGTCGGTTCCAGGTCATTTTCTCGCCGATTTCGAGAAGGATCCCCACACGTCCATCCAACTCACGGGAACCCAAGCTGCCTGATTTGGATTGGAGGCATGCCCCCTTTCAGCGGGAAACACGAGAAAACTGTCTTTTGTGGGCGACGCCCTACCAAAAGGACGGCCTTAGTTTCCGTCAACAGGAACGTGGAACCTGCACCGGGATGAAAGTACACGGCACTCTCCCCTGCATGCCCACGCGCAAAATGTCCCCCCACCTTCAGGGGGAGGGGGGTGGGTCCACCAATTGCATTTATCCAGTCCCCATAAAAGGAAAATGGAACCATAATGTTAACCCCGGAGTAAGCAGAACCCCTGGTTGATTCATCGGGGGGTGTCCCCTTTCAGTGGGGATTCAGCACTTTTAGGGGAACACCCCCCTAATAATGGGACAGGTTTATTAATTCTGGGTCAACATTACAAGGAGATCTCCAGGGGAAACCCCTCTCCTCCCCATTTTCCCGCACGAACGGGGAAGCTTGAAGGAGAAGTGGGGATCCCTCGGAAGTAAGGCTTCCAAGCGGTTCCGGTGGGGTCGCCTTGGAGAAAATCGGGGAAGAATTGGGGGGTGGTGTCTTTCCTTGAGGGTAACCACGCTTTGCTTGGTTTTTGCGAAAGGGTTTGAAACAATATTTCGGGAGAGAATAAACAGGCCCTAACCCACCAACAAGAAGAGACAGTTTAAGCCCCCCAGTCCCAAGGGCAAAGTGGTGCCCTCGGCTGGCAATGAACCACTCAGATAACAAACGGGGAATCCTGTTTAACCGCAAAACCCAAACAGGAAAGGGGACCAGCGCAGCCAACCAGGCGAGCGCAGCAAGCGAGCGAGCAAAGCAATTAACCAAGCGAAAGCGGAGCAGCAGCAACACAGCAAATTCCCAGAAACAAACCCGACCTAACACCACCTTGGCCACCTCGCCGCTGGTCGGGCCCGCAGCGCCTTTTGCTGCGAGACCAATAGCGGCGCCAGAATGGCGCGGGTGACGTGCTAGCAGATTGTTCTGCCGGAATCAAAAGCTTGAGCCAAACGGCGCGTTGGCCTTGGCGTTGAAACATGTTGCGATAAAACTACATGCCCCCAAAAACACCCCCCTCGCCTGTACAAAGAGATGGAGTGAATTTGGTAAGGCGCATTGGCCATTTGAAGTTGAAAAGCAAATAAAAAGAAAACAGAGCCGATTAGGCTACCAGGGTTCGCGGCCCCATACCCGGGCACTCATTGGTGCCCGGATCCCGCCACCACCCCGAATTACGGGTATGGGGCGGATTCGCGCCGGTAGCCAAATCAAACAAGAGAAAGCAAAAAGAAACAGAAACAAAGATTCAACTCCAGAATGGCAGGCATGAAATAAAATTACGTTTGCAATGCAACCACATCGAACCGTAAGGTTCGAGTGGATTTATATCCTGAATTCATGATTTAGGCGCATTGGCCTACTGGTTGAAACATGGTGCTTTGACCACAAGACCTTGGTCTTTAAAATAGCACCGTCTAGGCGCGCGATCACACAAAGACCTTCAGTGGGAACACCACCAGCTGCAATCAGCGGTTCAGGTCCGAGTAGGACTTTACCGGCAGCGGTGCAGCGCATCCGTGGTCCTCACCGCAGCACCTTGATGAGTTCCATCTCCAGCAGCAGCAGCGGTGCTGGACGATGCTGACAACCAGCGGCCGTAGACACCGGCGAGGGTAACTGCCTTGCTGCGGCGACGCACACCTGACAGGTAATCGCTGCCAGCGCGAATAGCGCACAGCTGCGCATGCAGTTGAATTCTGGAATGGCGAATAGCCCAAACATAGAAATACTACAGGGAGCATTGTCCATTATGTGAATTTCGGAATGAAAGCACGCGCGCGTTGGCGCCGCTACGCAAAAGATGCAGACGGACACCAGGTATTACCGATGTCGTCCGCCGCCGTGCCGTCCCCTCCCCTTGTTGAGGTTCCAGTCCCCAGGAGGAGGAGGCACGGTCTCGGCCAACTCATCATCCGCACCCCAGGTAGGGGTATGCGGCGAGTTCGGATTCTCGAACTCGCGTGGATCACCCTGCATGTGCGGCTGCCAACCCTGCTGCATTGTGCCAGGCCACATTTGCGGCATCATGCCAGCCATTGGCTGTTGCATGTACCCTCCCATTGGGAAAGCGGGGTACATCGGGCTTGGGAACGGGAAAGGGGCTGCCTGAGCACCCTTGTATCCCGACCCGCGAGCATCAGGCTGATACCCGCCAGTGGGAGTTCTCGATCTGGCGGATCCGCCACGACCGAACTGCCCTTGTTGGTAGCCGTATTGGCCACCCTTGCCTTTGTACTGATCACCTTTGTGACCCTTTCCTGGGAACTGGTCACCCTTGTGACCTCCGCCCTTGGGCCAGGATTGTGCGGGGGCTTTGCCCTTTTGTTGATCACCCTTTGACCTGGATTCAGGTCGCGGGGTAGCAGACCGTTGGTCCCCCCTAGGAGTGGCTGCCCGCCTGTGGTGCTTCCCAACCGGCGGGTCAGCAAAGACAATGGCGCATTGGCCGTCGCGCCGCGAAGCGGGGACCATGTCAACCTTATTGTCTTCGACATAAATGTATGCCTCAGCATACTCAATTGGGGCCGTGATGGATCCACCACTTGCCCGCAAAGAGTCGATATTCCAATCAAGAACAGTGGAAGCGTCGAAACTCGGATCTTCAGTATTGAAGTCCGTGAGGCGTCGCTCAGCCTGTACCAACGACATTATGATGTCCGCGCGTGAGGCGCCTAGGCCATACAGCGGAACCAAATACCCGTCCTCAATCCCGATGCGGTAGGCATCAAAGATATGCACAGAGAGGTAAAGGGCAAATGCTGAATTTAGACTGCCCTTTCTCGTCATATGACGACCCCATTGCGCCGCCTGTTGCGGGTGGTCGATTAAATATGCCATGACAGACATATTGTCGGGAATCGAGACGCCAGTGTTGCTCTCCTCGATGAGCAGCTGCTTCGCTACCCACCGCTCGAGAGCCTCATCACTCGCCCGCACACAAGCGTGAGTGTCCTTTGAGGTGACCTTTGCAACCTCCTGAAACGCAACTTGCACAATATCCGCATTGGGAATGTGCACAAGATGCGGCGCGCAGCGCAAACCGGTGATCATGCAGCTGACCACCTCGCGAATCGGGTTTACCGATGCCATGAGAGGGGCCCACGCGTCGGTCTCCCCTTCATGCCAGCTGCTGGGGCGGACTGCTTTGAGTTCGCTCAGCCAGATTGGCTGTCCATGCTTAACCAGAGCGCGGACGGTGCCTGGCACCCATTCACGATAGAAAATCGGCAGATGGCAACCATTGCATAGAATGGTGCCATACATGTTCAAATGCGCGCACCGAGGGCACCAGTAGTCATGCATGGGAGCATTGTCCCATGAAAATGACACCCCTCTCCGCGGTCCCTGAACATTCAACTCACGGACCGCCCAGGGACGGATGTATATTACATCCCCTTCCTGGTGCAGATAGCATGCGCGCCAGAAGGGCGCATGTATCTCCTCCCGCACGGCGATCAAACCGCGTCGGGTTTTGTAGATGCCGGCGGCTTCCTCGATGGCCATCCACTTTAGGTCAACGGCCACAACGACATGGCGCTTGTCCATGTACTTGATGCGGTCGTCAACATAAAATTCGCCCTCATTATTGGGGCTGGGCAACTTGAGGAAAGGCACCTTTGCGCCCTCCATCCCAATCATGATCTCCCCCCTGCAGACCTGCTCAGGTCGCATGGGGAAAACTGTGATGGCGAATTTGCCAGGCCTCCGGATGCACCTCGTTTTGAGGGCGGACCGATACTCGGCCATCGTCAGCAGCACGTATCCCGTATAAGGGACTTCTGCTGCTCCCATCGGCCTAAGCAAAGGCCCCATAGGCGTTCGGTCACGCAGTGCCCAACGCTTGAAAACTTTGAACGGCACGTCCCTCCCGATTAGGGTGGACCGCGCAAAAAGCACCTCATTCGGGCGCACACTCGTGCCATCTGTCCTCCAGACTGTCCGTATTAGGAGCTCGACTGGAGGGTACGATGGGCTTTCCTTTGCGAGAGCACCCGCCCAGGTCGCTACCTCGACACTCGTGCACTTGTGGATCCCGTATAGGGCCTCAAGTAGCGTTGAGATCAGAGTCATTGACATCCAACCTCCCAGAATGTCTGGAACCGTCCCAAACAAGAAGGGAGGCTGCTCACCGGGCTTCACGTTTAACCGCGTAGGGTCAGTGTTGCCCGACAAAACTTCTAGCAGCATTTGCGATTCCCTGGAGCTTCGTCCAACAAACGCCGACACATCCCTAATTTCGGGGAAAAAATGGAAGATGTCATTTCCGGCGGGACAGGCGATTCTGCCTGCTATCCCGCCCTGTGCATCAATCACAACCTCTTCACCCTCGTATGTGAGGTTGTAGGTGCTCGTAATCGGGCACACACCGGGCTTAGCCATCAGTGCCTCTTCCAACGACGCACCTGTTGGGAGGACGCCCTGTACGTGCGACTTGGTACCTATGGGACCAGTACTCGCAGACATAAGCCGATAATTTTCGGCACGAAAGAATGGAAAAAGGTTCTTCATCCTTTCAATTTCTTCTTCAGTGGTGCGCCACGCCTTTGCCTCATAGTAAGGCGGCTCCTGCTTTGAGGGCACTAGGTCGCGGTCACCCATTGATGAGAATTTGTCCACATATGGACCCATTCCCTCATCGTCCACATAACTCTCGTGATCTTCATCCGAGACGTACTCCTTGGGCGGCTCGCCCAGAGCGTCCAGATCGACCTTACCAAGGTCGACCAACGCCGGAGAATCCAGGACTCTCTGGATCCTCATGAGCTCGTTCCGAAACTGCTCAAAACCTCCGGCCTTGTCAATCACGGAGGTCGGCATTGCGCCCTCCCATGATTCTGGAAACATGCACACGTTCGTAGGGGTAAA